TGTCTGGCGCTCCGACCCTCGCGTTGAGAGGACCGAGTCACCACCCTCGCTCTTCCTTTATGCCCATGAAGGCATTGTACGGGCGCTTCTAGCGATAAAGGCCGATGAAGTTGAATGTTGACGACAGAAAACCCAAATTGTATGAAACACTACTTTAGGATTAAACGGGCACTAAACGTGGAATATTACTAATATGTGGTTGCAAGTTTACTAACATAGAGATTCGTGAAAATTCCATTCACTGAGTAGTTGTCTCTTGTCTGTACAGCTATACTCATCACTGATTCATCTTTGTATTTCTAGGTTTGTCAGCACTGTACACGTGCTCATTCGTTTCACTGTAGTTAACATCTGTGACCTTCGGGCTTTCCTCACAGAGTTGCGTCCCTTGGGCACGCCAGAAACCTATGATTCGAGTCCCGGTTCGCCCAGATTATGTTTCTAGATTTGTCAGCACCTGTGATCGTTGGGGGTGTTTATAGCGTTCGTTCGTCACGCCGAAGGTCTGGGTTCGATTCCCGACAGGGGTACAATGTATGAAGCCCATTTGTGCCTTGATATTGCTGGAATATTGCTAAAAGCGACGTACTCACTCACTGTGCTCGTGCGTTTCACCAAGACAGAACATGTCTAAGACCCGTACTACTTCGAGCTTTCCTCCCTCATTAAGCTGGCATGCTGTGATATAACTGAAATACTGTTAAATTCGGCGTTAATCCAACTCACTGTCATTTTAATCTTTTGCAAACCCATTACGACCTGAGAATTCCACTTTATCGTTCAGACACTTGCACACAAGACAGTCTTTCGGTATTGTTAGCTCACGAAAGCAAGATACATAATTACGTTGTTATTTATGTTGGAGTGTAAGGTACGTAAGACATATGAGATTATATTTCATCATGGAGACTTTAGATTCTTGTTTCACGCCGCACTCATCACTATTTCATCTATTAGATAGCAGCATGTAAATATTCGATTCTGCAGGAACAATCCAGTGATTGATATTATGAGCATTGACTCTTGCCGACGGATAACAATGACACGCTATCAAGTCACCGAGTCTGACTACCCCATCCATTAGGTCTCCCCCTATGACAGCAAAGGTTGCTGGGGGAAACGTCTACCCAGAATCCCAAGGGGGAGTGATTTCTACGGATGAAGCTTCACTGAAAATTAATAATTTACAGTTCTAATTAAGAGATTGGACTTACACACCGTACGAAACAGAATGTAAAAATCACCGAAAACGGCTGCCAAATTGCAAATTTAATTAAATTTATAATTTAATGATGCGTTTGGCAGTATTCTTTCCCACGTACAATAACATCCAGAGATTCCAGCAGTCAACGGGAGATCACTCTAACTAATTCTCGTGTTCCGGGTACGCACAACGTAAAATTATTTTACGGGTGCTTCACCCTCAAACGACATTAACCAAACTAATTGTCTGTCAGCACAACAGCAGAAAAGACAAATGAGTTTATTCTGTGTAAAGAGTCTACAATGTACATACGACCATTTGTTTTTAACGTTTACACACAGAGAGCGATTGCACCCAAACAGATAAGTCACACGAGACCTTGGACCCGATCCACAAAGAGTTCCTAGCGCTACTACTGACGTAACATTATAGTGTAACAGTAACGTCTGTCGTCACGCTACGAAAGCTTTGTGGGTCGGTCCCTGTGTAGAATTAAATCGGCATCATCCATTTCGGATATTAATATTGCTGAAAAATATACTGAACGATTCAAAGATGGGGTCGAGAAGTCCTCTTACAATCACGGAATACACTTTACGACACCCGTCCCATATAACAAGGAAACTTTTAAAAAAGGGAGACCCACACCAAATGGCTTGGAATGACAGACAAGCGAAGCTAAACCCCCAGAATATGGCGGCTGGTAGTCCCAGGATTGTACTGAGCGCTGTGTACCAACAACGCATGCTCGCCGTGAACGCATGGCGCGCGCACTTCCACATACAGTTGAACGACTTCACGTTATCCGGCTCGCCGAGAACATCTTCAAATGTCACCTGGAATATAGAAACGTGAGTGAGTGAGGTTTAAGATTGTGATAACAGGACATCAAATTGTTTCCTCCATTTCTCCAAGAATTGTAAACCGTATGGGTAAATATAAACCGCGCCTTGTTCCCCGTTGGTCGAATCTTGATGATTCCTTATGGGGCCTTTACACAGGATGGCGACCTTTGTGCCTCCCGTGTGCGACCATAGAATTTGCCAGGTCGTCGTTGGAGGCTCAAAGGAGGCAGAGTGGTTGCCTAGGTCGTTGCAAGGTGGTACACAGGAGGTTGAGACATCGCCATGGACGCCATGGTCGCCGTGAAGTTTTGAACATGTTCAAAACAGTCGCACAAAGGTCGCCGAGGAGGTTGGTTGCTCAGAGGTGGCTCAAAGGAGGCAGAAGGGAGGCACAAGCATTGCAGTTGTTGCAGAATGAAGGCCCGTTGGTCGCCCAATGGTCGTCAGGTAATAGATGCGTTCTGCTGAAATATTGTCCCGTAAATCTGGGCGATGCTTCTGCCTCCCTTGTGCCTTCTTTGGGCGACCAACAGCGTGCATTGAACGGTGAGTATGGCGACGGCCGTGCCTCCATTCGGCGACACTTGAGACACCACGGCAATGCTTCTGCCTTTTTTCTGCCTCCTTTGAGCTACCTGTAGTGCCTTCTCAGCCTGCCTATAAATAGAGGGCTTGTACCTGCAGTGTTTCATTGTGGTTGCAGACGCTGAACAACTCGAGCAGTTACTGCTGAACAACTGCTGGAGCAGTTACATAGAAACATGATTTACTGGGTTTAGGCGACCATTGAGCGTCCTGGCCAGTTTTTGATCGCTCGAAGGTGGCACGAAGGTCGCCATGTGTAATGGGGCCTTAACCAAAGAAGCTGTCTTCGCTCCTTTTATTGTATAATTCTGAGACAAGATGACAAGAAATAACCACACAATAATGATCAAATACATTTGTTTCGAAATACGGGGTATTTGATTACGTAACACTGATGCCAGAAAAGTGTGTGTCTTGTCCAATTAAGATACACCGTAAACTATCTAATTGTTTATCTATTCAAGACATTATTTACATGTTAATAGCAGATATTTATGTTGTGTCGCATCTTCCCGAGGCAACGGCGTTAACTGACTATAAAAATCCAGTTTCCACCCTTGTCGAACTATGATAGGTTTCCAGCGAACGCAATGGTCGCAACTCTGCACAGCGACGTGTCCGCTGTTCATAAGAAACGTCGACGAGAACTCTATAAACATGACTGAGTCACTGACCACAGCAAAGTCATTCAGCTGGTTGATGTCACGATTTCCTCCGTCCCCCGGCATCTCCTTTGGAATCTACGGCTATACCAAAGTCAGCTGCAATAATTATGATAAACACGCTCTGTAAAATACAAAACACATCGTTACAATGGTTTAATTTAAATCAATTTCAGAGGCACTGTAAAAATATGGCATTTTGTTTCATTACTGTCTCGGAATATGAAGAGAAGGGACCATTGTGACCACGGATAAAGTGAACAAATAGGTCTCCATAATTACATTTGCAGGGAGTCTGTATACTCTCTTTGTCTAGTGTCCGTGACATATGCAATACCCCGTTCACGTGCACAACATTTACTAACGTAAGTAATTTTGCACATGTGTAACTATACATATGTGTTTATATGAAAGTATACTATGCGTTCACATGAAAATCAACTTTGGTGTGTAAATAAAGTATGTAAATTGTGTAAGGAAGACATATTCGTCAGTCTGTTCACGACTTTCAACACAAAACAGGTTGTTTTCCAATCAAAGTTGAAAGAGAAGAGAGTTACTTCACCGATATTTTTCGCTTGAAGCAACATGCGTTTGATTTAATTTGTTCACGAAGTTTTGACTCCTTGAAACCAAAAGAAAACACCGTCCGCTCAACTCTGTTTATACGCATGAAAGTTGGCAACTGACAATTTGTTTGGTGTTGGCAAAAGAACAGATATTAATTAGATCATCCTCTTACGTAAACATAAACGTTTACATTGCAACATATACACACAGTGCAAATTTACATTTACATTTGCACCTGCTCCAGATATGATGCAAATTTGCTCCTGGTGTAAATATACACACATGAGTAAACGCGTTCACATGACAAGTATACTCAGGTATGTATTTCTTCACACGTATGCATATATAAACGCATATGTATAGAGGCGCATGTGAACAGGATATAAGATCCCGTCATCCTTAAATGTTATAATAATTACATGAAATTAATGAATGGGCAACCATCCAAACCTACCTGCCTCCTAACGTTCAAGAAATGTGTAATCTAAAACGGTGGTATGACGTCATAGTGACGTCAAACACATTGTGGCGTCATACGCTTTGTCGTCGGGAGACCCTTCTTTTAGTTAGAAGGCCCTTTAGGCAGTATCACGGACTTGAAATTATCGGTTTTTGTGCAATCACATTTTATATATATTATGAGAAATAATAGAAATGTACGACACAGGACGTTTTGTCCATGTCTGAGCAGGGCGTTTTGTCTGCATTAGAATGATAAATGACGATCAAAGAGCATAATAAGATCTCTTCTAGATTGAAGAATCGTGTTGGCTCGTCAAAGTACGGTTGTTTTTAATCTTTGTATTTAACATGCTTTTGCTGTCAGAAATGAATCCAGAATGAGTAAAATATTTTGAAATTAGAAGAGAAAAGCATGCTCAAAAGAGGCGAATACGTCATCGGGGTCACATCTTCAAACTGTGTTTTTGTTGCAATTAAAATGCCATATCGATCTACATCTTTACTCTATGAATAAATGCCTTTGGTCTTAAATTAAAATAATTTTACTCAATTAACAAATTGCCACAAACTCCTCCACAGTACAGTCATCATTCCGTGTCAGGAGCTTCAATGTGTGCTTAGCTCCTCCCCAGCGCGTGACACCTTCGTTACACACTCGGTAATAGAGAGCTCCGCGAAAGGGCTATGGCTGTGAGGAGCTTGCCTTGTGCACATGAATGCTTCCGGTCTACAACCAGGAGCTTACTTAACGGCATGCCTTGAGTAAATCCACGGATTTCATCCAGAATTTTCTTCATTTTATGGTAATTGACTTGGGCTATTTTATATATATTACATATCATTCATGTTTAACCTTTGTTTTGTTATACAAGCGGGTTAACTTGTCGAAAATCAGTGTTTTTGCGCTGCTGTTGACATTGCTGACACTCACAGATGTCTTAGATCAAAATGTTGAAAGCTCTTGCCCATTCCCAGTGCATTGTTGTCAATAACCTACATGGAATTTCAGTTGTCGAGTAAAGGTACAAGCTATTGTTGGATTGAAGATTGGCAATATTGCAAGATCATAATTCTTTGAATCAGTTTGAACCGTAATCTTGTTATGTTGCCATTGTTCATGTTGTTGGTCCACAGGTGTGGCATACAACCCTATTCCTCCAATGTTACTGTTCAATCCATTCAGGAACATAGCTGAAATCATCATGCTTGGGAGGTAGCTGCGGTTACAATATCCTTGCCCCTCAACCTGTTTTTTTAGAGGGACAGCATGTCTGAAGCTTTGTAAACCATCAGCTGATAAGCCATTTTGGGAGTAGTGCACTTTACCGGGCGCACTTTTTCAGATCCAATTAGCGCTGTGGGGGCTCGAACGCGCTTCGCCGGCTCACCGGTTCTGCTAATTAATGCGTTAATTAGCCGACGCTCTACCACTGGACCATAGGCGCTATCACATGTGATCAGTGCTAGTCTAACAGGTCATTAGAATCCCCATTGACATGCATGCGTAATTCAGTAAACAATGAATTGCGCATGCGTGTGACGTCACTGCCCGCTCTCCCATTCAACTTTTCTTGAAACCACACCCGCAATTGTTTATGTCAACATGACCGACCAATGGGATTAACTGGATTAACGCTTGAAAAGGTAAGAATATACTGCTAACCCTTGCCCAAAGCCAGCTGACCCTAATGACCGAAAAGGGGTTTTGGATCGTAAAGACGTGTAAGTTTCCCTAAGACCGAAAACGGGTGTTGGATCGTAAAGACGTGTAAGCTTCCCTAAGACCGAAAAACGGGTGTTTGATCGTAAAGATGTGTAAGTTTCCTTAAGACCGAGAACGGGTGTTTGATTGTAAAGATGTGTAAGTTTCCCTAAGACCGAAAACGGGTGTTGGATCGTGAAGCGAGAGTCACCAGAGCGTGAGGCACGGTAACGGTATAACGAGACAGCGGTGGCACTATAGCGCGGTAATTGAGCGGATGGTAGAGCTTGGGCTGCGCCCGGTAAACTGCATTGTTGCTGCCATTTTTACTCAGCTCTTCTCGCCTAATTCCGTGACAGAATGTTCTTGTCCAGTTACCAACTCGCAGACATCGTCTTATCATGTTACTAGACTTTTCTCTGGTTTGTAAACAAACACACTATTGTTTTGGTTTGAGAACTGAATCAGGGATGTGACATCCCCATAATCACACTTGGAAATTATTTCATGCATGATTTAAAAACACACAGAACCGTCGACGTACTGTCCCTTTAACATGTTTAATGTTTCTAAATGTCACTAATGTATACCATTTCATTTCGCAGCTCACTTCTCAGCTTCTTTGACTACAAATCATTAAGTTGTATTTTTTTTAATCTGATCCCTTAAACATTTGAAACATCATGAACATGTCAATTGCTTACCTGTGTATTCGTATGCTTAGTTTTATTCAGCAGGAGGGAACTTTGTTAAGGATTGCAGATAAAAAAAACACCACATTATGGGTTTGGGAAAATAGGATGGCAGCCACCACAAAACTACTGTAGGCCTAGCTGATATTATTAAATGAATAGATGAGGGGCTGCAGCAACCGCTGGCCTAGTATATCCTTCTCAGATTATGAGAATGAGTTGCCATGGGCACAGAGTTGACGTCACACTAATGACGTCTTTAGATCTTCATTTTAGAAAAGACAGTTGTAACATGATGCATGATGACTATGCTTGAAGTGGTACAGAAATTCCCAGCTGCAGGTGAAAGTTAAGTCGTGAAACATGCCCATGATTAACTGGTCAGGATAGGAATTGAGACTGATGATTTGATGAAATTGAGGACATTGGATGATGAAAAATGGTTCAGATCAAGATCCTGATGATGCTTGGTCAGATCAGGCACCTTGTCTTCTTCAGAGTTCTCTGTGCCGTCTTGTGTAGTAAACATGGTGAGCATGGCACACCTTGTCTTCTTCAGAGTTCTCTGTGCCGTCTTGCGTAGTTAACATGGTGAGCATGGCACACCTTGTCTTCTTCAGAGTTCTCTGTGCCGTCTTGTGTAGTTAACATGGTGAGCATGGCACACCTTGTCTTCTTCAGAGTTCTCTGTGCCGTCTTGCGTAGTTAACATGGTGAGCATGGCACACCTTGTCTTCTTCAGAGTTCTCTGTGCCGTCTTGTGTAGTTAACATGGTGAGCATGGCACACCTTGTCTTCTTCAGAGTTCTCTGTGCCGTCTTGTGTAGTTAACATGGTGAGCATGGCACACCTTGTCTTCTTCAGAGTTCTCTGTGCCGTCTTGCGTAGTTAACATGGTGAGCATGGCACACCTTGTCTTCTTCAGAGTTCTCTGTGCCGTCTTGTGTAGTTAACATGGTGAGCATGGCACACCTTGTCTTCTTCAGAGTTCTCTGTGCCGTCTTGTGTAGTTAACATGGTGAGCATGGCACACCTTGTCTTCTTCAGAGTTCTCTGTGCCGTCTTGTGTAGTTAACATGGTGAGCATGGCACACCTTGTCTTCTTCAGAGTTCTCTGTGCCGTCTTGTGTAGTTAACATGGTGAGCATGGCACACCTTGTCTTCTTCAGAGTTCTCTGTGCCGTCTTGTGTAGTTAACATGGTGAGCATGGCACACCTTGTCTTCTTCAGAGTTCTCTGTGCCGTCTTGTGTAGTTAACATGGTGAGCATGGCACACCTTGTCTTCTTCAGAGTTCTCTGTGCCGTCTTGCGTAGTTAACATGGTGAGCATGGCACACCTTGTCTTCTTCAGAGTTCTCTGTGCCGTCTTGTGTAGTTAACATGGTGAGCATGGCACACCTTGTCTTCTTCAGAGTTCTCTGTGCCGTCTTGTGTAGTTAACATGGTGAGCATGGCACACCTTGTCTTCTTCAGAGTTCTCTGTGCCGTCTTGCGTAGTTAACATGGTGAGCATGGCACACCTTGTCTTCTTCAGAGTTCTCTGTGCCGTCTTGTGTAGTTAACATGGTGAGCATGGCACACCTTGTCTTCTTCAGAGTTCTCTGTGCCGTCTTGTGTAGTTAACATGGTGAGCATGGCACACCTTGTCTTCTTCAGAGTTCTCTGTGCCGTCTTGTGTAGTTAACATGGTGAGCATGGCACACCTTGTCTTCTTCAGAGTTCTCTGTGCCGTCTTGCGTAGTTAACATGGTGAGCATGGCACACCTTGTCTTCTTCAGAGTTCTCTGTGCCGTCTTGTGTAGTTAACATGGTGAGCATGGCACACCTTGTCTTCTTCAGAGTTCTCTGTGCCGTCTTGCGTAGTTAACATGGTGAGCATGGCACACCTTGTCTTCTTCAGAGTTCTCTGTGCCGTCTTGCGTAGTTAACATGGTGAGCATGGCACACCTTGTCTTCTTCAGAGTTCTCTGTGCCGTCTTGTGTAGTTAACATGGTGAGCATGGCACACCTTGTCTTCTTCAGAGTTCTCTGTGCCGTCTTGTGTAGTTAACATGGTGAGCATGGCACACCTTGTCTTCTTCAGAGTTCTCTGTGCCGTCTTGCGTAGTTAACATGGTGAGCATGGCACACCTTGTCTTCTTCAGAGTTCTCTGTGCCGTCTTGCGTAGTTAACATGGTGAGCATGGTAACTGTGTGCAAAGTTGGTGCGGAGGTAAAGAAAAATGGAATTGAAACCAGTCATAACAGTTGTATACTTCCTCGATAATAAGATTAATAAAAACTGAGCCATATTCTGACCTTCGTCAAAAGTGAACTGCCATCAGAGGAATTTTGGAAATACTTTTGATATAATATGTTACAAGGAAGCAAATAGCCTAACATCTAGTCTCTGAAATGAACATATTGTACAGAGAAAACAGTTGTTCAATTATCTTAATAAAAATATAATAAAAGGGAGCCCAGAGACTCTCTTCATTTTCGGATACTGCAGTAATTTAGACTTGCCAAACATTATATACTTGCATGGGCTGTATTTGCTATATGTTTGTATCAGGATCTGTAAGACAGACTAGGAAACAAAGTTTACTGTTTAATGTGAGCATGTTATGCTTGTTGACCCAGTTTAATAGCTTGCTCTGTCCTCCTCTGTTGTGGGTAGAGCATCTGCCCAGTGAACATGGTGAAAGGAAGGTCAGTGCTTAAAAACACTGGCTGTGTCATATCAAAGGTGATAAAAGATGGTACCGGGGTACTTGTTACCCTGATGGGGCTTGGCATTAAGGGAATGAAACAAGGACTGGTCAGCTCATAGTCTGTATACTGTGCAGGCCTCAAGTTAACTATATGCAACTTATTAATCTATTAAAGACCATGGCGCAGCCTTAGCTCTGTATAGCAACAAGTCAGTAACAAAATTGTTATCAGGAGCAGCCCGGAGATAAGGTTACCACAGCTAAACCAAAATTGTACCATGTCTTTGATTCCACTTAGAAGTTGGCTGGACATGAAGACATGAAACTGTAAGTTGTTATCCGTGAAATATTTCATGTCTATTCGATTTTGTATCAGCAATTTTGTAATCATTTAGATTAATAACTGAGGTGAAACACCATTGGCTACAGCGAGTAAGACTGATACTCTCATGAGAACCCATTTCTGAATGAAATAAGTGTCTATAATCTCACCATTTCAGATATTTGAGAAAATATGAGACCGCACCATCATGCAAGGCTATCAGCAAGGTCAAGGTCAGTGGCCAGGAGGTTATGACAAAGGAGTGTCTATGATCAAACAAAGTGGAAGGGCATCTGAAAACACACCTGAACGATACAGAGAGAAGGAAACAGATTCCCCCAAGATGAGCATGGTAACCCATGCATTGGAGTCCCTGCGAGACATGCGTGGTGGTGAGAGTAGGAAACGCCCGGCACGGGACATACTGGGAGATTCTAGGGCTAAGGATGCCAAGTGGTCACGTTTTGACTCAGGGTAAGTATTGTTGGTTAGTGTTCCTTGAACATGTTGAAGGAGATATCAGAAATATAATACTTCATCCCTGCTTATCCAGTGTATTATGTTTCCATTCTGTTATGATAAATACTCGGACCTTCTTGTTTTGAAATAGAATATTAATGCTGTCTCACTGTATCGTCAAGCCCTAACAAAACATACTGCCTGGTTTTAAAGGCATTATCTCCTTGATGTTTCTTGCAGAGGTCCACCAGACTCCATGGGTCAAAGTCAGGATGACAGCTGGAGGTGTACTAAGGTGAGTTCCTCACATTCGGGGGATGGTGGGGTGGCCTAGTGGTTAAAGCCTGGCCTTGAGATGTGAACCCCATACCTGATGTCCCCTGCTTTGATATTGTGGGAAGAAAGAATACTCACTCACTCATCATTTTCATCTAATACTATTACTGTGGATGTTCTGAGCTAATCAGAAGCAAGTCAATATAATTTTTTGGTCTACCTTTAGAATACAGTACCACAAACCTTTCAAACATGTGATCATACCCTATGCTGTAATTTGTAGTATTTTGTTGCCAGTCACACCGGCGAAACAATGCCCAGTGACGTCAGGGGTCATCGAGTGTGCACAAGCTCCTCCCAGTGATCTATCATCTCTACACGCAATGTCATTGAATACGCCCTGCGGTGTTGAGAGTTTTGAGTATTTGTTTACTAATTATAGCCTGCGGCGGCGCATTTTAGAGCCAGCGCTAGTTTACAAAGCACTTTTATTTTTTATTTGTTTTTTATTTCGTTTTTCTTGTAATTGACATGATTGAAGTGAACTAATATACATATATTATTTTTTAAGTTCATTAATTTTCATTTTTATGCACAAGTATGCAGTTTATTAGGGATATTATACTGGCGCTGAACACATCCAGATGTCGCCAGTTTTAGGGTAGGTTACCCCGAACTCTATCCTTAGCCTTTGGTTGCCCTTTACGATCAATCACCCCTTTACGGTCATTAGGGTTAGGTACTCGTTTAGTGGCTATAAGATTACCCAAAGTCTATCCTTAACCCTTGGATCCCCTTTACGATCAATCACCCCTTTACGATCATTAGGCTTAGGTCCTCGTTTAGTGGCTATGATAGATTATATAGCGGCTCCTAATATTCTTCACACAAAAACATCGAGTAAAAAGCATGAAATGGTTTTGTGTCGAATATTTTGGCTACTGGAAACTGTCATGGAACATTCACACAAGCCACTTTCACCGGCTACATTTTTTCAGTACTGATTCAAAAGCGAACACCCCGTTGTGTCGTCACTAGTCATGCTTATTCCTCCATTGTTCCTTACTATTATCCACATCATCCTTACAGTGTTCCCTGCCACACTTTTCTGTCACAAAAATCACCCGACGAATTATTAAATACCATATCATTCATGCGTACTCGCGAGTTCGACGTCTGACGTCTGACGCCTGGAGCCGTTTTCAGTTAGCGACATATCGGCTCATTCCCCACCACTCGGTATCTTGTAGATTAAGGAATGGGACGAGTGTGCCAAATGGCATTGGGATCATTCTTAAGTGTCCGTAGACTTAAGTCGCGAGACACCATGCCTACCCGTAACCTTTGTAAGTGTCCGTCGCCTATTCGACCCTTTTCGTTCAGTTCCGTAACGTCACAGGCATGACTAGGTAAATTTGCACTAAGTTTAACAGTGTGGACGTAGCTCAGTCGGTTAGCTGTCAGGCTAACAATCTGAAGGTCACGGGTTCGAGTCCGACGGATGCTCACAAAAAACTGGTTGCTTGTCTTGAGACATGTGACCTACGGCAGAGATCGTCCTCACGAGAAGTTGTGGTACTGTATTCTAAAGGTGCTCCAATTTTTATTTATATTATACATTTATATGCCCATTGAAAAACCAAATATTGACCAACTCTTAACTGTTAGTTTTTTTCACCTGACATCAACTTGTAATCGTTAATCAGTGGATATCATCTTCCTGAGGCAAGAGAGTTAACTGGCTATAAAAGTCCAGTTTCCACCCTTGCCGAACTAGGCTGGTATTATGGAGTTACATTTTGGCTGGACTAACGAGTCTATGCAGAGTCCAATCAAAATCGCGCACCGAAATCGAAATCCGGTTCGTAAACTTTCATGCAGATTTCGGTCGATTGCGGGATTTGCAAAGCATGTTCACCGCCAACTCGTTGTCAGCAGATATTTTACAAATCTTTTCATGTTTTTAATCAAGGTGCTCACGTGATTTGATGCATTTTACGATGTAAGACCCATTTTATCACAATATAGATCTTGATTGTTGATCAGATCGTCCTGACTGTGCGATACCATTTTGTTTGAAACAAACGCAAGTGATGCAAGAGAGGGAATCTAAATGGTCCATAGGAGAGGCTTAGAGGGGACATACGAGTAACTGGTAATAGCCACTGGTGGCGCTACGATTGAGCCCAGTAATTCCAGCCTAGTTCGGCAAGGGTGGAAACTGGACTTTTTTAGCCAGATAACTCTCTTGCCTCGGGAAGATGGCGTTAATGAGAAGACAGTGAAGGGATCAGGGACAGATAACTCTTTATTTGTTACCAATGGCAGAGGGCATCCCCGGGAAAGGAAGAGGCACGTTATGGCTTCTGTGTTACAGGTTAGAAATTCAGAAAGAAATTGTTGTGTCTGAATAAGTAGAATTATATCATGAATATCCAAATTCATGTAATTTTATCTGATATCAACATATAGGCAGCCCTCTAAGAGTATTTGTCTCTCCCTTTGTTTCAGTGTAACAGTAAGAACATTGAAGGAAGAAACTATTGCATCCTTTGCTACTCATCTCGGGATGTTGGTGAGTTGTTTGATATTTAATACTGACTGGCTCCGTGGGGTTTCCGGGTTAGAATAGATCCCAGCAACCTATGCTGGGCCTAAAAGTGAGTGAGTGAGTGAGTTGGGTTTAACACCGCTTTAAACAGTATTCCAGTTATATTGCGGCGTGTCAGCTTAATGTGAGAGGAAAGCCCGAAGTGGTGCAGGTCTCAGACACTTACCACTTCAGTGAAACCCACGAGCACGGGTATGGTGCTGACAAACCTAGAAACATAATCGGGATGAACAGGGATTCGAACCCACAATCATAGGTTTCTGGCGTGTCCAGGGGACGCAACTCTGCACAGCGAATCGTGGCACCTTAGATGACTGGGCCACCCGTGCCCCCATTTCAGTTTGGAAATGGTGCCCCAATTGGTCATGTTCCTCTGTTTCAGCAAAGTGGTTAATGTCTGCGACCTGCATCATTTTGGGTTTTCCTCCCACATTAAGCCGACACGCCGTGATGTAACTGGAATACCATTAAAATCGGCGTGAAACACATCTCACTCGCTCACTCGGCAATTTGACAATGTTTTGCTGATATTTTCTTCAGGCATGAGGCTGAATCTGAATGGATACCCCAAGTAAACTATCAATATCCAATGTGTATGATAATCGTGTCAGTAAATAGTCAACATGGTCAGTGGCTCAAAATGGTATCTGGAGCCCAGTTGTGTTGTGTTCAATGGAGTATTATGCACAAGAAAATATGGATTATAACCGATATTCATTTGTCTGTGTTCCAGGAGACCTATCTTCTGAGGGTCATCACCTACCTTCTAAGGGTCAGGGTCAAGGTCATCGTCTACCTTCTAAGGGTCATCACCTACCTTCTGAGGGTCATCGTCTACCTCCTCAGGGTCATCGTCTACCTTCTAAGGGCCATGACCTACCTTCTAAAGGTCGTGGAAAGGTAAGATTATGAGAAATATTACCCACAAGTGTAGAATGACTGTGTGCATTAACTTTCAGATATATGCACATGTGCATTTTATCGATTCTCAATGCTGATTGGCCTGTTGTAGCCATATGACATCACAGTGCTTTAAAATCGATATGTCGTCATCCAGTGTTCATGTCGTCACAAATTGATAACATGACATCATCTGAACAATAGGCTGCCATCAGTGAAGTGTCCCTGTAGGGTTGACCATCTAACATGAATTTTCTTCATTTTGTCTCTTAAATTTACTTAAAATGTAATTTAGGAAAACCTACTTGAAACTAGGAAGACGGATTATCTTTCCCTTGTTGTTTAACGCCACCCTCAGCAATGTTCCAGCTTTATGATAGCGGTATGTGAATAATTGGCTCAGACAATCCAGTGATTGATATTATGAGCAGCGATCCACGCCCTCAGAGTATGATGGCTTGCTGTCAACCAACTTAGTAAGTCTGGCCACCCAATCCATCTGGTCGCCTCCCACCACCAGCATAGGTTGCTGGGGACCTACTCCAACCTGGAATCCCCATGAGGTAGAACTAAAAGCAGGGGTCAAACTAGTTGGTCAAATTCAACTTCTCTACATCTTACGTTGGACTAGTAGTTTATGTAAAATAGATAGAGTTTAGGAGAGACAACTTGTCCCTGAAGATTTTGTCTCTGACTAATGGACTAGTGGACATGTCTATCCCTGTGAAGGACTTTAATATGTTAACATGTGGTGATGTTATTAGATACTGAATTATTTCTCTTAGTGACCGAAGACTGACTAAAGTTTATTACCTATAATATTGGAAAAACAAATGTCACTGGCTCCGTCCGTCCGTCCGTCCGTCCATCCATCCGTTCATTTGCTGTAGGTGCGTGAGGATAAGGCCAGTACGCTCTACGTGTTTGACCTCCTGCTGACAACAACAACACCTGATCTGTTCAAGTACTTCTCCCAGTGGGGAGGCATGATTGATGTCTACGTAAAGATAAGAGATGATGGAATGTGAGTACAACTTCTGATCAGGCCTGCGTGAAAGGTCACACTGAAATCTGCGTTGAGTGTGTGAAAATCTGCATTGAATGTGTGAAATGTCTCGAAATAATAATAAAAATAATAATAATAATAATAATAGGCCTATTTATGATATGCTATATCCACACCACAAGGGCATGCTCAAAGCCCTACGCTATTTTTGCCCTGGTGGATCAATGGATCATAGTACACTCAACCATCATTCACATCTCCCTAGGGAGTATACTACCCAAGCTGCGCTGTGAGGCGCTATAGGTTAACAACCACATTGCCATCTCATCCTACCAGGTACCCATGCACTTGTGGGTGAAAAGGGGCACATTTCGAACAAAATCACTGCTGACCTGGTGGGCTAGCTAACCTTAATAGTTACTAGCCATTTTCAAATTACACAAGCTTAGATAAGCGATAGATCATTTTTCCAGAAATTTGATTTGACATAGTTATCATTGATAAATAAAGTAAACCCAAATTGCAATCACGAGAAAACTATTATGAAGGGGGGGGGGTAACTCTGATCTCGCCAACCTCACAACCTCAACTGGTTATGGATATTTTTTAGAAAAAATTTCTCTTTTGATGGTTGTACTGATCTACAGAAACAGGAACTTTGTTTTATTTTGATCAACTAAGAGGTGTGCATAAATAAATATCTGTTAAAATTTCAGCAAACTAGTCGTGATAATAATATTTTAGAATCTTTAGCCAGACCAAAAAGTTTTTAGTTACAGGCAAGGAGGGAGGCAGTTATTTCGCACATATTCATATGAAATCACAAGACTTTCCATGACCTTAACCCCTCCTTGCCACATCACACAAGCACATAGATTTTAGTGATCATGATCATAATATCTAAAGAGTGAAAGATATGTTTATGCATTCTAAATTCGAGCTGGATATGCAGAGTTCTAGTTGTAGGCTCTGCTAGTGTGACCTCAATCCCAGATTTACCCCATTTGCCATCCATGGCCACAGCATGCCATCTCCATACCCATGACTGTCTGTGGTTTAACCATTGCTTTCCTCACACATCAGTGTTTCCATAACCGATCATTGTCAGTAATTCACCTGTCAAATAGGCCATGCCTGTCTGTGGTTTAACCTTGGATTTCCCAACACGTCAGTGTTTCCATAACCGATCATTGTCAGTAATTCACCTGTCAAATAGGCCATGCCTGTCTGTGGTTTAACCTTGGATTTCCCCACACATCTGTGTTTCCATAACCGATCATTGTCAGTACCTATCAAATAGGCCATGAACTGGTAAAATTTAACCCAATTAGTCCAAAATAATTCTAATTCTATATTTTCCTTTGGCATGTTTGTAACATTGGGCTTTCAGCATTTACATGGGAACAAAGAGACACGCTGTTTTGAAATGGAACTTCACTAAAGTTCTGTTTGTTTGTTTGTTGTTTAACGCTGCACTCAGCAATTATTCCAGCTATTTGACGGCAGTAACATGAGAAGTGAGAAATAAACACCTAACATGTTCTTTCAGTTCCTCAGGAAAAGGCCTTGTACAGTACATGCGCCGAGAAGATGCTCAGGCCGCTCTCGCTGCTTGTCCGCACTTCATCCAGAAGAAACAAATTATTGTCACGGTGAGCTCCAAAATTATTCTACATACGTACATGCTCTCAAGTACCCCATGCTTGTCGGCCCTAGAGATTGTGGGTCTCAATTGGTCTCAAGTACCCCATGCTTGTCCCCCTGGGGGTTGTGGGGTAGAATAGGTCCTAAGTACCCCATGCTTGTTCCCCTGGGGGTTGTGGGGTAGAATATGTCCCCAGTACCCCATGCTTGTCTCCCTGGGGGTTGTGGGGTAGAATATGTCCCCAGTACCCCATGCTTGTCTCCCTGGGGGTTGTGGGGTAGAATATGTCCCCAGTACCCCATGCTTGTCTCCCTGGGGGTTGTGGGGTAGAATATGTCCCCAGTACCCCATGCTTGTCTCCCTGGGGGTTGAGGGATAGAATTGGTCCCCAGTACCCCATGCTTGTCTCCCTGGGAGTTGAGGGATAGAATTGGTCCCCAGTACCCCTTGCTTGTCTCCCTGGGGGTTGAGGGATAGAATTGGTCCCCAGTACCCCTTGCTTGTCTCCCTGTGGGTTGAGGGGTAGAATATGTCCCCAGTACCCCTTGCTTGTCTCCCTGGGGGTTGTGGGGTAGAAAATGTCCCCAGTACCCCATGCTTGTCTCCCTGGGAGTTGAGGGATAGAATTGGTCCCCAGTACCCCTTGCTTGTCTCCCTGGGGGTTGAGGGATAGAATTGGTCCCCAGTACCCCATGCTTGTCTCCCTGGGGGTTGAGGGATAGAATTGGTCCCCAGTACCCCATGCTTGTCTCCCTGGGGGTTGAGGGATAGAATTGGTGCCCAGTACCCCATGCTTGTCTCCCTGGGGGTTGTGGGGTAGAATAGGTCACCAGTATCCCATGCTTGTCGGCCCTAGGGATTGCGGGGCTCAATTGGTCCCCAGTACCCCATGCTTGTCTCCCTGGGGGTTGTGGGGTAGAATATGTCCAAAGTACCCCATGCTTGTCCCCCTGGGGATTGTTGGGTAGAATATGTCCAAAGTACCCCATGCTCGTCCCCCTGGGGGCATGGGAGGTTGTGGGGTAGAATATGTCCAAAGTACCCCATCCTTGTCTCCATAAGAGATTGATGGGCTTGTCACCCCAGTACCCTATGCTTGTCTCCCTGAAGATTGATGGGCTCAATGTGTCCCCAGTACCCTATGCTTGTCTCCCTGAAGATTGATGGGCTCAACGTGTCCCCAGTACCCCATGCTTGTCTCCCTGAAGATTGATGAGCTCAATGTGTCCCCAGTACCCTATGCTTGTCTCCCTGGGGATTGATGGGCTTGTCACCCCAGTACCCTATGCTTGTCTCCCTGGGGATTGATGGGCTCAACGTGTCCCCAGTACCCTATGCTTGTCTCCCTGAAGATTGATGGGCTCAACGTGTCCCCAGTACCCTATGCTTGTCTCCCTGAAGATTGATGGGCTCAATGTGTCCCCAGTACCCCATGCTTGTCTCCCTGAAGATTGATGGGCTCAACGTGTCCCCAGTACCCCATGCTTGTCTCCCTGGAGACTGATGGGCTTGTCACCCCAGTACCCTATGCTTGTCTCCCTGGGGATTGATGGGCTCAACGTGTCCCCAGTACCCTATGCTTGTCTCCCTGAAGATTGATGGGCTCAACGTGTCCCCAGTACCCTATGCTTGTCTCCCTGAAGATTGATGGGCTCAACGTGTCCCCAGTACCCTATGCTTGTCTCCCTGAAGATTGATGGGCTCAACGTGTCCCCAGTACCCTATGCTTGTCTCCCTGGAGATTGATGGGCTCAATGTGTCCCCAGTACCCCATGCTTGTCTCCCTGGAGATTGATGGGCTTGTCACCCCAGTACCCTATGCTTGTCTCCCTGGAGATTGATGGGCTCAATGTGTCCCCAGTACCCTATGCTTGTCTCCCTGGGGATTGATGGGCTCAGTGTGTCCCCAGTACCCCATCCTTTTGTCCCAGGGGATTGATGGGCTCAGAAGGCCCCCAGTACCTTATGCCTGTCACCCCACAACCCCATGCTTGTCACCCGAATACCCCATGCTTGTCGCCCCTAGGGATTGAGGGGCTCAATAGGTTCCCACTTCCCCAGGCTTGTCGCCCCTAGGGATTGAGGGGCTCAATAGGTCTCCCGTACCCCATGCTTGTCGCCCCTAGGGATTGAGGGGCTCAATAGGTCTCCAGTACCCCATGCTTGTCACCCCACTACCCCATGCTTGTCACCCCATTACCCCATGCTTGTCACCCCACTACCCCATGCTTGTCACCACACTACCCCATGCTTGTCACCCAAGTACCCCATGCTTGTCACCCCAAGGGATTGAGGGGCTCAGTAGGTCCCCACAGTATGCCATGCCTCCCATCACAAATGTGGGGTCGAAAAGCACTGTGGAAGCACCATGTTTGCACAGCTATCAATTGTGCATATAATCCAAGAAGTGGTTAAAAAGAAATCTTGATGATAAAAACCTGATACTTTGGGATTTGAATAAAACAAGACTTAATAATACAAATCCATTATGTGTATGACACAACTATTCGCATGGGATTCTTGTTTAGAATACTGTATATGACTGCGGATAAGCCGACCCCGTAGATAAGCCGAGGTGTTAACTTGACCATTGAAATACGAAAGAAAATTATATGACCCGCAGATAAGCCGAACCAGGAAGTAAAAGGCGAAAAACACTGCGAAGTCGGACTGCAAGACATGTGCCAGTACTCGCAGATATTCAAAAATATAAGATGAAAAACGTTGTAATAATATTTGAAAAGTCATTATTATTTCTAATAAAGATTTAACAAACCAGTCATCCACATTCATAATCATGATAATGTGGGAAGCTGTTTCTCTTGGGTTTTTTTAATCTCATAATGATCGTTATATGTTGCCATCAACAATGAAGCGCCAATTCGGCTTATACGCGGTCATATTCGGTAGGTTCCCAGCTGCCTATTCTGGTTGTGACTTGACAGATCAAATGGTCAGACTTGGTGACTTGGTTGATCATGTTGATTGTGTTGAATGCCATGGATGACATGAATCTGGTCCAGACTCAATTATTTACAGGACATGTTACTGGACTAGGACTGAGTGCGGCTTCAGACAATACATGATAAAACAAAGACTGTTTTTGTTATTTATCAAAACTGAAATTTCTAATTAATAACCTTGTTTCTTTTTCCAGGACAAAAAGAAGGCAGGTAAGTTGTCCACAAATAGAAACGTCATGCACAATTGCTTGTAAACTCATGATTGATGATTAGATCATCAAAATTAATCGTATTGTGTCAATTTTTTACTTATCCTGCATTACTCCTTAATGCATTCACTGCTTACTTACGACAACTAGAAGGACAGCGCTGCGAAGGTCCTGGGTGAAGAAATAAAGTTGTTGTTCTCAAGTCCTAATCAGTGGCCTTCCGTCGCTGTCCTGTGACCTTGATGACACCTAAGGTCATCTTCACATCACTGCTTGTCGCAGCACAGCTAGGACGTGTCCAAGCGGAGCTCTCCTTTTGGATTAATTTTAGACCTTCAGTTTGTCTACAATCTTAAAAATTGATCTGCGATGGGTGATGTATTCTTTTCATATTACTTTCACCATGTTGTGTAGTTTTATGTGAATTAATTAGGCGTGAAAAGACACTTGTTTTTTTTTCCCGCCAAAATATTGTTGTTCGCCGCCATTTTGAATTGTGTTACAATCGTTTGCCTGCCAAGGTAGTCATATTGTTTACAATTCTCAGCTACGTATGTATAACATATTCTTATGTTCTTAAATATTACTAGCTTTGGCGTAACAGTGAGTTGCGTATACTAAAATTATTGTATACTTTTTCAACTCGTTAAAAATATGGTTGCCGATAGATTAATATCAAATCTACGGCTTTCTTCCAGTCCCGCTTCATCAACAATTCTTTTATTGCGTACCTATGTTTATGCGATTAAATAGTTTTTTGTTGGTATTTTTGGTTTTACATTGAGTTGCGTATATGAACTATTGTATACTCTTGCAACTCGTAGTTTTTGCCGATAGATTATTGTTCAATTCTATGGCATTCTTCCAGTACCGCCTCATCAACAATGGCGTAATTGTGTTTAATTTAAACATATTTTATTGACATATATGGTCAACGGGATTGGGCAAAAGTTATCCAACTTAGGTGGCCCTTTCCCTACTCTATATGTACAGACATTGAATATACATACATATATATATGTAATTGTGTAACTTATGATTGAGCGTGGTATTAATTGTCGTGGGAAAAATCTTACAAAGATTATCATCCACGTTGTTTGGTTTGCGCGCAGATGTGCTCTCCAAACCCTAAATGAAAATATAAATACCCTTGGTTTACATTGGGTTGCGCATACAAAAATATTGTATATCCTTGCAACTCATAAATTTGCCGATAGATTAGTGTTCAAATTCTTCGGCACTCTTCCAGTATTATCTCATCAACAAGGGTTTCATTGCGTAACATACCTTTGAGCATTTTACTAATTGTCGTGGAAAAAACCTTACAAGATTATCATCCACGATTGGTTGGTTTGCGCGCGGATGTGCTCTCCAATCTCTAAATGTAAATAGCCTTGGTTTACATTGAATTGCGTATATAAAAATATTGTATACCCTTGCAATTCGTATTTTTGCCGATAGATTACTGTTCAATTCTACGGCATTCTTCCAGTACCATTTCTTCAATGGTTTAATTGCGTAACATAATTATGTTTGCTCGGTGTACATATTGTCGTGGAATAATCGCCCAAAGCTCTTTATCCACGGTCATAGGCATGCACGTAGATGTGCTCGCCAAAATTCAAAATGTAATTTTTATGTAAATCTCTAATCCAACGAGTTTACTATATAAAAGCAGATTACTCACAATCATATTTTGCAGTTATTCCGTCGTGAGACGAGAGGAATGTCACTATCGCAGAATAGCGAATGACATATGGTTCTGTCATTACCACCCAACCGTTATTATCGGCAGGTATTATGACGACTGTGATTGCAGAAGTACACCATCCACCGAAATCAACAATACCGGAGGATTTTGTGAGTATCGTAACTGCTCCTATTTTTTCAGCCGCCGGACACTTCCAGATACATGTATGATAATCTGTGACGTCGGCGACAGCACCAGCGTATCGAGATGCTATGATGGGGGTAGATTAGACACAAGCCTTGATCCAGTCAATACTTTTGAGCTTTGTGTCTGATTTATCTGCGCCGAGCGCAGCACTTGACTACAACCAAAGCACTTCTATTACGCAAGCGGCGCACGATCAGCTTAGCGCTGTTCCAACATATCCAGCATAGACCTGCGCCGAGCGCAGCGTCTGACTGATACCCAAGCGCTCCTATCACGCCAGTGACGCAGGATCAGCTTAGCGCTGTTCCAACATATCCAGCATAGACCTGCGCCGAGCGCAGCGTCTGACTGATACCCAAGCGCTCCTATCACGCCAGTGACGCACGATCAGCTTAGCGCTGTTCCAACATTCCAGACCTGCGCTGAGCGCAGCGTCTGCGTATCAATCAAGGTCTCTACAATGACGTTAGCCCAAGGCTTACAGTGTACTCGGTTACGTAACCGGCACATGATCAGCTTAGCACATGTACCCGATTGGGAAGCAGACCATCTCGTGTCAGTAACGCCCTCCCCTGATAACAGGGTAAATAAGAGGGACACCACGAGGTCATTGGAGGAAGCCTTCTCCAAAACTCACATTTGCTCCGTGATTTAAGCGACCAATATCGTCAATGTTTGCAGTGGATCAGAATCTATTAGAGGATAACCCTATCTGATTAGATCACTTCCAAACTATGGTGTTTTTCCTACAGCGTCAGTTTGACCACAGGAAAATTCATCTTGAGACCGTTCTGACGGTGATTACCGTTACACACAAGACTTTATAGCGTTTCCAACTGGTTTCAAGGGCAGTCTATTACGTCAACTTTGATCATCTACTCCCCTGTTCAACGAACAGATCGCAGACACGCACGTCAAGTTCCCAAAAAGCTTGGAAAGTCCAAGTCAGGGAATTATAAGCCTAGACGCGCGTTTCTCAGGGAAGACCAGCATTCCCTTACTGAGAAAGGGAGTGGCAGAGACAAGTCTCAAGGACGATTTCCTACTTATCGCACTATATCATGGTGTCCGTATAAGGGTAGAGTTAACCCCACCGTTGACCACAGTTTGATTGGGAAAATCCAACATAGACATACTGTTGGTAAGAAGAGCTGTAGAGTGGGTTCACAACCCAGTCTTTACTCCGGGGTTTTATCCTCACACCTACCTGGTACTCATGAAGGACCCAGACAAGATGAGAATGATCCACAATCTCTGTGTTCAACGAACGTTTGATTCTTCATCAGTCTCGACTATCCATCCCAACCGTAGACTTTTCAGGTCCAGTTCATTGGGGTTCACTACCAATGGTAGTATTTCACATTTGACATGTCAGTGACACTTATGGCTATTTACAGGAGTAATGAAGCCAATAACTATCTACACGTGACGAACACTTGGTTCGAGTCGTAGATGGAGGGCGATCTACTGTATCATCAACACATGTCAATAACTGGGATAGACAATCAACGAGGCGAAGTCGGGAGTATTCTCCTTCCTATTGACTTCAGTTCATAGGAGACCTGGTTAAGACAGACCAGGATATCCTATCTGTACCGAGGGACAGATGGCACAAGTTTCTACTTCTTTTGTCATCTACTCTACACCAACCACACACACTTCGCCAGTGGCAAGTGTTGCTAGGGTTAATCACCTCGGCACAGGAGTTAACTAGCATGGGCCGCTTACAACAGCGACCAATTCAATTTTTTTCCTGAACCCTTACATCAGGAGTCAGGATCCACTCAAGGCCATCACTCTACCAACTAAGCTAGAGCCTCAATTTGTGGCGCTGAATGTCTGCGGAGTCTGTTTATTCGGATTTTCCCCGAATACACACCTGTTTGTGGACGTCCCCTTTCAGGGGTGGAGTCTTCACTTACAAGACCAGATAAGCTCAGGGCTATGGCCCGGCGCACAATGGAAGTGGCACATAAACAACTTGGAGTTGGAAGCTTTAATTCTGGCTATATCACATTGGCAGAATCAACTACAGTTAGCCCGACTCGCTATATCCACAGACAACAGCACTGCGGTGTGGTGCCTGTGCAATCGGGGAACAACACACTCCCACTCTCCACTTCTAAGGACATTCAGATTTCTTCCATCTAGTGGATCGGCTGTGACTAAGGTTCATAGTTCAGCACATCCCCGGATGTAGAAACATACTGGCCGATACTTTATCACGTCCAGACAGGGTGGCTCCCACTGAGTGGAAATTTCTCACAGAAGCATTCCAGTTACTGCTTCAGGAATTCAGGCAACCAAACATTGACTTGTTTATTACTTGCCTAGGCCACCAACTCATGACGTATATCTCCCCGTTGCCGGATCCGCAGACTTGGGCGGTGGACGAGTTCAGTATCACTTGGGAAGGGCAAAGAACTAAAACTCTTCTGCCACCACTATAACTTCCCAAGGTGCTACAGGGGATCAAGGAGACAAGGTATCTCGATCTCTCCTTTGGTCGCACCATGGTAACCGGCGAGAGGGTAGTTCGTCAAGCTCGGAAAAATCTAAAACGATTCACTTCCCCTCTCACAGTGGTCCAACCTACTCATCCACCCTCAACAGAAAATTGCCTCACCCAACGTCTGCACGCATGGTTCGTCTTTAAAAGGCGTTTAAGTGCGAAGGGTTATTTCGACACGGGCAGCAAAGCTATAGCTTTAGTTCATCGTTACTCTCCCAGAGACGACGATGACAAGTGGGGATCACTTGAGACTTTTTACAGGGAAGAAAAGAATCAAGACCCTACGATTGCGTCACAATTCCTAGAGGAATACCTCCTACATTGCGTACCCAAAAACACTTGGAAGGTAGCACCATTACTACGTAATTGGCTGCAATTATCTTAGTGTTGGCCGTTTCCGGAAAATCACAGTGTGATTAAGGTCAGGGAACTACAGGCCATATTATGCTCATTCAGGTTTGAGGATCAGAAGGCCAAGTTCCAGCCACCTGATTGGGACTTGAACGTGGTACTTCGAGGTTTGCGAGGGCCCCCCTCGAGCCCCTCATTGCATCCTCATTTTCAAGCTCCTTCCCAGCGCGTGACACCTTCGTTACACTCTCGGTATAGTATAGAGAGCTCCGCGAACGGGCTATCGCTGTGAGGAGCTTGGACATCACCAAGGAAACAATGGTTTCTCTTGGCATTAGCAATGGCGGTACGGGTGAGCGAACTACATGTGGTCGACTCAACCCGGATCCGTTTTGAGCATGGGACGCACGGAACAGGACATCTAGGGTTATGCTGGGATTTTATTGCTAAAATCTACTACCAGGCCAACCCGACCGTTCTTCACCATCCCACCGATATCGACTATTGTGGGAATCGTACATGGTGAAGTTCTCCTGGGCTCGGTGCGAGCAGTTCGAGTTTTCATTCGACGCTCCAAGACAAGGCGTGGTTCGTCCACGACAGAAGTTAGTCGCATAATCGCAAGCACCATATCTATATGGTTACGCGCAGTAATCCTTCAGGCCTACGAGATCATCAAACGGAACTCGCCGAGAGCGAATTACCCTCAAGATCTCAAGGTGTCAGCCTTACCAGGGCTCAACACGGCAATTGTGGTTTTGGAACAATCACGGAAGGATATTTCTGGAGATTCGACACATATTTTCGTTAGTCATAACCTTCGCGTTGTGACTCTCGAGGATGTCAAAGACGTTCGAAGTTTGGCCCTCTGGTTGTTATCCTGCAGATTGCCAACCACTGACGCAAATAATGAACTCGCCCTATACAGAGCCAGTCAACTTCCATGTGCAGTCACTCAGTCGCCACCAGTGGAAGAATATTAGACAATCTTGTTTGTCAGCGACGGCTCTATGACGCAGTAAGTAAAGAATTAGCTGAATAGCTATTATTTTCTTTATTACTAAGCGTGTATAGGGAATTTCTCTTTAATTCCTATGTTCAATGTTTTTGATTTTTGAACAACCCTACCGTAATGGCGTTTTTGTCTGAACTGTTCCGCTTCACGGTTTATCGACCAAATGGGGTCGTATTGCAGGGTGTGAATTATTGAGGTTTCTGTATTCTGAAGGTTGACCCACCTCCAAACCGTCCGATACAGATGCATTAAGGAGTAATGCAGGATAAGTAAAAAATTTAGTAAAATCTAAATATTTTTTACATTTGTATACTTATCCTGCATTACTACGCTTAAGGCCCACCCGTCGTTAGACTTGCCTCCCCACTTTGGCTTCAGAAACCTCAAAAGTATGTTTTTCTAAGAGCTTGGGCGACAGGCAGTGATGTGAAGATGACCTTAGGTGTCATCAAGGTCACAGGACAGCGACGGAAGGCCACTGATTAGGACTTGAGAACAACAACTTTATTTCTTCACCCAGGACCTTCGCAGCGCTGTCCTTCTAGTTGTCGTAAGTAAGCAGTGAATGCATTAAGGAGTAATGCAGGATAAGTATACAAATGTAAAAAATATTTAGATTTTACTAAATTTGGTTGTTTTTAACAGTAAGTTCAGTAAAACTAGATCACACCTTATGAAAACAAATTCAAATAGTTACTTAAGCACTTTGTTTCAAAAAGGACACTGGCCCTCTTTTTTCTCCCTTTTTTTCTCCCTTTTTTTCCAAGTTCTATGAAATAAGTTGAGAATAAATCTTGTCAGAACACAAGCATCTGAAATAGATTCTATGATCTAATTTTTGCAGTTAAAGTTAGATTTAGAATAGATGAGAACTTGTCTAGCGTGTCTAATGTGTAATTTCATTACTTTTTATCTTAACCCTCCACAACGGTGTGTAATATTGCTTCTAGCTTTGACTGGGGGGAGCGCGGGTGGCCAAGTCATCTAAGGGGCCGCGATTTGCTGTGCAGAGTTGCGTCCCTTGGACACGCCAGAAACCTTATGTTTCAAGGTTTGTCAGCACCATATCCGTGCTCGTGGGTTTCACCGAAGTGGTAAACGTCTGAGACATGCATCACATCGGGCTTTCCTCCACATTAAGCTGACACGCTGTGATTTAACTGGAAGATCTGGATCAACTTGTCACCTGTCTATGGAGATTACACAGGGAGCAAGGTGGTCGGAGGGTGTGTTCCGATGATTGTTTACATTGTTCAACACTGTAATATGATCACAGCTACAAGGAATAGTGCATACTGTTGTGTCAGGATAAGTATAAAAATAAGTGGAATACTCTGATTCACTATCTTTTTCCCAAGTTAAATTTATGAAACTCCACATATACTGTTTGAGAGATCATGCAGTCCTGATACTGTATCCACTTTGTAACAGACTTACAACTTCCTGTGTTTCAGATCCAAGGAAAAGTCTTACGAATATGGTCGTACGTATTTATTTCAAACAAAGATTATATTTTATTCTTTCTTATACATAAAGAAATAATCAGTATCTTCAATAGTGAGAGTTACTTCCCTTAGTTATGCAACAAGGATGATAATGTTTCACCAATGAGGTACTGCTACCACTAAACAAAAATCTGGGAACATCCCATTATGGGTCACGTCAGAACAACCTTTCATCTCACCATTCATTTCACCATTCTGAGTGTTGCTTACCAGGTTAGTAACATTCGGAATGTGTTTTCTGATCATGCAACCTCAAAAAGGGCATTAACAAACAATAAAAATGTGTTTGTCAGATTCAGTTTTTTGTTTTTGGACACCCATTGTCAGGTTACAATTCTATGCTACAATTTTCTGTTGTAGGCCTTACAGAAGTACAAGCTGTATGTGACCAACATACCTGCTGACGTGACTCAGGACGAACTGTTTAAGTACTTCTCCCAGTGGGGAAACATGTTCTCCTGCGAACTAGCAGGAAAACTTGGGAGGTAAGATGGCACATCATTCCGGATCATCTTCATACACAGCACGATTTAGGTTAGAATTTATCTTCAGCAGCCCATGCTTGTCGTAACAGGCCTCCAAAGGGATCAGTTGGTCAGGCTCGCTGACTTGGTTGATGCATGACATCACATCCCATCTGCCCAAATCAATTCTCATGATTTCAATCACTGGATTGTCTGGTCCAGACTCGATTATTTACAGACCGTCGTCATTTAGCTGGTATATTGTTGAGTGCAGCCTTAACAACAAACAAAAAACATCATGAGACTGCCTCTGTGGTCTAGTGGTTACAATGTCTGCCCAGATCTTAACAGATGGTGCTTGTCGTAAACCCCTGTCTGGTGCTCAGCACTAAGGGGGCGGTCGGGTAGCCTAGTGGTTAAAGCGTTCGCTCGTCACGCCGAAGACCCGGGTTCGATTCCCGACATGGGTACAATGTGTGAAGCCCATTTCGGGTGTCCCCCGCCGTGATATTGCTGGAATATTGCTAAAAGCGGCGTAAAACCATACTCACTCACTCACTCACTCAGCACTAAGGGAATAAAACAAGGACTGGAAAGCTCAGAGTTGGTATTCAGTATCCATGTTAAACTGCAGCATGGTATCTCAGTGGTTTAGGGGCAGTCGGGTAGCCTAGTGGTTAAAGCGTTCGCTCGTCACGCCGAAGACCCGGGTTCGAATCCTGACATGGGTACAATGTGTGAAGCCCATTTCTGGTGTCCCCCGCCGTGATATTGCTGGAATATTGCTAAAAGCGGCGTAAAACCATACTCACTCACTCACTCCATGCTAACACATTAAAACCAGTTTTTGTTTAGTACTTGTATACAGAGACACACATATATGCATACACATTGCTTTCATTTGGAATGTGACGTTCAACACCTTTGCACATTAGGCCCCCTCTGTCTGTTTCAGAGGCAATAAGTTTGGCTTTGTTTCCTTCACCAATGAAGAAGATGCTCTGAAATGTCTGAAGTTTCCGAGCCACAGTATCCAAGACAGGATTCTGTATATACATGTGTCGGACAAGAGCAAGTCTGTGAGTGATATTTATTTTTCCGTCATTTGTCAATGCTATGACCAGATTCATCTGCATATAATCCATGTCAGCACTGTAACTGGTAAACGTCAGATGTGACATTTTGCATACTGGGACCTTGTGGGGATCTGGGTAAGGATTGGTCTCCAGCAGCCTATGCTTGTTGTTTAAAGGGGAAGTGTACACACAAAAATCACTTTCTTTCTTTTTCTAATTTTTTCAATTTTAGAATTAATTAGTATCTGTGTTTGAAAATATACACTCATTTTTTTCACAGTGAAAGTAGGAAGCTCACAATAGTGTGAAAATGATATGCCGTTATGAGGCCTTCGTTTTTCGAGCTAAACAGGCCTGAGTTATCCCCCTTAGATTATGACGTAATTGGTGCCAATTCAACTGGGTCCCTGTCTATTCTCAAAGCAAAAAATATCAAGTACCAGTTTGTGGTAAAACAACATGGCCTACGACCATGACGACACACTCCGGCGCAGTGGTGACTCAGCATAACACTATGCTGGCTGGCATCTGAGACGCTAGAATCACACACCTAGACCTACACCACGTGAAGCGGCTCTAACAAAGCATGATGACGTCATAATGTTTACCGTATTGTCTTGAGTATAGTGCGCACCCGTGTATAATGCGCACCCCCCTCTAGCGGGTTCAATATTTTGAAAAAAAAGAAAATTGACTATTATGCGCCGAAAAAAATTACACCGTACCCTTTCAGCGAAGTCCGGCAAACGAACGGGTGAAGAGAAACTTTGTCAGTACAAATTCGAAATTGGAGATAAAAAGTCACCAGACATGTTTATTTACCGATTAAATAGTATTTATTGTTCTGCTAGGCATTGTTTTATATCCAGGGATTAAGATTACCTTGTGTATTGTCTCGTAAACTAAGCCGGAAACAGCAATCAGCTGTAAACACATTTTCTTGGAATCGACCGGTGATTCGGTCAAGACACACCCAATGATATAACTTTATAGGATTTTTAATGCAAGGATCGGCAAAAATTGTATCTGAAACTATTTTTTTTTTTCAGGAATAATATATTCCATTATTTTCTTAATTATATGCAACCTTTACTAAACATATTTAAAATAATAATAACCCTAAGCGAAGCAGCTAATTGCTATTCCCGGGTATTATTTTTTACATGGAACCAATCTGACCAGTCACCGTCAAGGCTCACGCGCACATGATCACGTGATCGCGAGAATTTCATGTTGACATAGAATCGTCAAACAAAAACAAATATGACTTTTAACGAGTCAAAGTATGTCATTTATAATATATGTATCCATTCTCTGTCAACTAAAGTTTGTTTCAAGGCGTCAATAGCGGTATTCTGACCGTGGTTGCTGTTAATAACAGTGAGTTGTGCGATCTTCCGATCGCTTCACACACGATTTCGCCGAAATTAATAAAAACAATATTAAAAGGAAGTTTGAATAAAATTAATGAAATAAGTTATAAACATAAGTCAAGATATACAAATAACACTTTTTATAGCCAGACAGTGTAATTACATGATTATTTTGCGTACTTCAGTATGGATTTGTTGACATGGTATTCCCGGTGTTTCTTGCTCACAGTAATGTCTTTCCATTGGGGAAAAAAACATCCAAACTCATAATTCGTGTATAATGCGCACCCCCTTCTACACAGCTGTGTTTTTTGGAAAAAAAGTGCGCACTATACTCAAGAAAATACGGTATCAATTGGCACCAATGACGTCATATTGCAAGGGGCATAAGCCATGGTGTTTTTGTTGTGGAAATAGAACACTTGGTAAATAAGAAAAATATAAATCGTTTTAATGCGAAAAATATGTTAATTAATTGTGATATTTTTATATTTTTGTCTATGACACTTCTAGGTTAACACTTTTAATGTGGAAAAAGTACAAGAAAAATAGGTTCATTTCCGTGTGAACTTGCCCTTTAAGGCCACCATATGGATGTGGTAGTCAGGCTCTGTGACTTGTTTGATAGCATGTCATTGACCTGTTGACGCCTTCATATAGCTGGACTGTTGCTGAGTGTGGAGTCAAACAAGAAACAAACAAACAAAACTTCATTTTTGGGTGGTTCACAGTATGAAGTTTTTAATCTTTTGTCCTATGTCACGCTGTGCATTTCACCATCACTCCGATCCTTGAGTTGAAACTATCCTTGACCCTGTTTCTAAGTTTCAAAAGCACCTCGACCAAGCCCATCCTCGCTGCAACCATGCCCACCACCGCCACAACAGCCACCACAGCCACCACAGCCACCACAGCCACAACAGCCACCACAGCCACCACTAGCTGTTGCCATGTGGCTTTGATGGTGTTCTGAATGCTGTGACTTCTCCTGAGACTACATCAATCTTCGTCTGTTTCTTTAAGAGTCTTTGGATTTTGTGGCTGACTGTTCCAAAGTAGGCGAGGCTTTTCTCAAAGGGTGCAGATTGTTGACGGGGAGATTTCTGAGTTTTCTTGGTGATGTTCTGTATTGTCTGTTGTACTAGCTTGACCTTCCTTGACTTGAGGTGGATGGTTGGAGGCAACAACATCCGTCATGATGCATCCTGAAGTAATTATTACGTCATGTGTATAATAAAGATCGTTGAATGTAAAAAACACCATTTGCTATTAAAACTTCTTTTGGCCATCATAAACTGTACGTAATTTCTCAAGTCTACATTCAAGCATCGAAGGAGCTGCGACAATCATTCTAAACTGCTCTTCATCCCCTTGTCGATAGCTTCAACCACGGTGTGCGTCTGCTCTAAGAGTATCGTTAGGTTGAATGTGGGTTTGAAGACCCTTATGATGCTTATGGGTATAGTCAATCGTTCCTCTTCCCTTTCATTCTTCATAATAACCAAACCGGTTGTGGCTATAAGCTGAACGAAGCAATTCCAAAGTGTGTTTGCCATATGTCTTTATGATGTAGGGGGGATATGGGGGGGAGCAGTTTGAAGAAGATCCCTACTGGACTGGAGATGAAGCAAGGACTGGTTGTTCTCTCTGGTATCTGGGGATGTTACAAGTCATGAAATACATTGGTCACCTGACCACCTGACCTCGTTCTGGTAGCACAGAGAGCAGCAACCCCACAGTAGCAACCCAAACACGAGTTCTCGTTATGTACAAGCCTAGATGATGTGACAATCTTTGATTGGATCAGAGCTCTAGGTCAAGCTTTGTCGATTTGTCTCGTAGTTGAGGTCTGTTTCAGGCGTGGGTATCTGCTCCCCACCTTCCAACCGCAGGATAAATGCATAGTGTGAGATAGGATAAGTGTAAAAATGTATAAATTTTATAATAAATTGTATATTAATATTTATAACATTCCCACACCTAACAGGCCACTCTTCACTCACTGCTTTGATGCAATAGCTGGTTATAATGGTGGGGGTTAATATGGGTAATTCTTATAAATACAAAACCTCTGTTATACATTGGCAGAAATCCTGTATTTCAGCTGTCATCACGTCGCTATGTAAGTGCAATAATCTTGGACGCGACGTTAAACCCCATTTCACCTCACCTCAGCTGTCATCACTCTATAAAATCTTCTCCAATGTCAACTATTCATAATAAATTGTGCAAGTAATAGTTTCATGCTGTCCACAATTCATGCACTGAGGTGGAAATACCTAACTTCTTATCTGACATCTTGATGCAGAAAATTGATGAGGTGGATGCGATTACTCCTGATTTAATAGAGGTCGTATTCTTTGAGTTATTAACAATGATAACTATTGTTTGATATTTGACACTTCTTCAGATGTATATTGTTTGTTACGCATCTTCTGTTCCTTGATTTCAGATGCTGAAAACTGAAAACACTAATCCATTGGTGGGGAGAGCCCATGTCTGTAAGATGGAACTGTGATCACTTGAATAGATTGTACTGGACAAGACGTGTTTTGGTTCCAAATCATGTCAAAAGCACCCATGTCTGTAAAGAAGGGACAATGGCTTGGCCTCATCACTTGTATAGATTGTACTGGATGTGATGAGATTATGTTCCCAGCCCCAATGTCTGTAAGAGGGGACCACGCTTGGCCTCATCACTTGTATAGATTGTACTGGATGTGAGGAGATTATGTTCCCAGCCCCATTGTCTGTAAGAGGGGACCACGCTTGGCCTCATCACTTGTATAGATTGTACTGGATGTGATGAGATTATGTTCCCAGCCCAAATGTCTGTAAGAAGGCTGCTTAAATTTTTTTTCTTAAACCATAGAATTGAATATATATGAATGTGTCAAATAAAACCTAGATTTGTTATAAATGCTACATATTTCTTTGTTCCAGATCCACAGGAAATACCATCTGCTTCAGCATCTCTGGAGGTTTGTATGTTCTCAAGTTTCTCATTCAACATGCTCAACATGGGGTATATATTTGTCTAGTGGTGCACCTTCTCGAAACATATGTGTGTTTGAAACACACATCACCTTCTTTCATACCGGTATATGATCTGTCTTGTGCAGTGTTCCCGTTTTATCAGCCCCAACTTTGAACAAATACAAAACATATGAAAATTACCAGGTTTTAATTCTTTCAACATCAGTTTTGAGTTTTGAGTTTTGATCTTTAATGCCTGACTGCTCATCTGACTGTGACTGATCTCTTTCGTCACAATGAGTGATGTGACATCATGATAGTGATGCGTGCAGTGTAGAACTAAACCTTGCAAGGCTTGCTTTGTTTGTTCTCGTGGTGCTCACTTCTTGTTGGCTTACATAGTAGCTATGCCACACACATTTCAATGGCTGTAATGTATGCGAGTAAAGTAGAACGATGTAAAGAAATAATGATGTTTGAGCATATACAGCACCATGCTTTGTTCAAAGGGACTGGGGGGCACGGTCCCGACATGGGTACAATGTGTGAAGCCCATTTCTGGTGTCCCCCGTCTTGATATTGCTGGAATATTGCTAAAAGCGGCGTAAAACCATACTCACTCACTCACTCACTCACTGGGGGGCACGGTGGCTCAGTCGTCTAAGGTGCCGCGATTCGCTGTCGCAGTTGCTTCCCCTGGGCACGCCAGAAACCTATGATTGTGGGTTCGAATCCCAATTTGCCCCGTTTATGTTTCTAGGTTTGTCAGCACCATACCCGTGCCTGTTGGTTTCATTTCGAGCTTTCCTCACACATTAAGCTGACACGCCGTGATATAACTGGAATAATGTTTAAAGCGGCGTTAAACCCAACTCACTCACTCACTCACTCAAAGGGACTGCATGTCTGCAGTTCTGTGTGTTTTCAAATTATGCATGAAATAATTTCCGAGTGTGACGTTACATGCTAGATACAATTCTCAAATAAAAACAATAACGCTCCTCACAGTGAGGCCAACAACGAAAGCGCTGCACAGAGTAGACTGGCTTCAGTAATGTTATTTTATTAGAGGCACATTGAAATGAAAGCTCATGTGTTCTTTGGGATGAGTTACAAAATACTAATTTCCAGCTTGATTAGATTGGAAGCCAGTGTTTATCAAAGCCTAGATTACAATATAAACATGCCTGGGTTGGATGAAGCCAATCACTCTCCTACCTAGAGCTCCTTGCAGCCAGCCTCAAGCCTGTGTCACATCATCACATCTTACATCGTTCACTCACGTTTTGTTCATCTGTTTCATTTTGGACAAGTCTACGCAATTCGAAAAACATAACTTTCATTGAGAAAATGTTCTAAATGTGAAAAACTATCTTCACTTTGTGTATTTATCCTTTTGGTTGGTTGGTTTGTTGTTTAACGCCGCACTCAGCAATATTCCAGCTATATGACGGCAGTCTGTAAATAATGGAGTCTGGACCAGACAATCCAGTGATTAATATCATGAGCATCGATCCACGCAATTGGGATCGATGACATGCATCAACCAAGTCAGCGAGCCTGACCACCCAATCCTGTTAGTCGCCTTTTACGACAAGCATAGTCACCTTTTACTCCACATACTGACATCGAGCAGGTGATGTGGTCACTTTGATGTATAAAGCTAAGTTGTCATGCACCTCACTGTCACAGTTGTTATAGTATGTCGATATATTTATGCAAAACTACATATAAAGTAATCAGAATAAGTGCTGGTTTAGGTGCTGCATCATTCAATGTCTTTGCTAACTCCAAAGAGTTCATGTTTAATTTTGTCATGGTGGAATGGAAATAACATTAAATCTTTTCTTAAAATAATAGGGAGATTTTTATGCTGTGGTTTTCTCTGTTGCAGCCCTCACAGAAGATCTCCCTGTTTGTGTCCAACATACCTACTGGCATGACTTCAGACGAACTGTTAGAGCATTTCTCCAAGTGGGGGAAAGTCGACTCATGCACAATAAGTTATCGGTAAGTTGATGCAGCATTTCACCACCTCTGTGGTACAGTGGATAGAGCGTTTGCCCGGTGGGCGGAAGGTCAGGGGTTCAGTTCCTGACTGGTTCATCAAAACACATTAAAAGATGGTACTTCTTGTAACCCTGCCTGGCGCTAGGCATTAAGGGGATAAGGAGTCGGTATACTGTGTGTGAGTGGGTATACTAAAACAAGGATGGCTGGGAGTCTGTATACTGTGTCTGAGTGGGGTATACTAAAACAAGGATGGCTGGGAGTCTGTATACTGTGTCTGAGTGGGGTATACTAAAACAAGGATGGCTGGGAGTCTGTATACTGTGTCTGAGTGGGGTATACTAAAACAAGGATGGCTGGGAGTCTGTATACTGTGTCTGAGTGGGGTATACTAAAACAAGGATGGCTAGGAGTCTGTATACTGTGTCTGAGTGGGGTATACTAAAACAAGGATGGCTGGGAGTCTGTATACTGTGTCTGAGTGGGGTATACTAAAACAAGGATGGCTAGGAGTCAGTATACTGTGTCTGAGTGGGGTATACTAAAACAAGGATGGCTGGGAGTCTGTATACTGTGTCTGAGTGGGGTATACTAAAACAAGGATAGCTGGGAGTCTGTATACTGTGTGTGAGTGGGTATACTAAAACAAGGATGGCTAGGAGTCTGTATACTGTGTCTGAGTGGGGTATACTAAAACAAGGATGGCTAGGAGTCAGTATACTGTGTCTGAGTGGGGTATACTAAAACAAGGATGGCAAGGAGTCGGTATACTGTGTCTAAGTAGAGTATACTAAAACAAGGATGGCTGGGAGTCGGTATACTGTGTCTGAGTGGGGTATACTAAAACAAGGATAGCTAGGAGTCGGTATACTGTGTCTAAGTAGAGTATACTCAAACAAGGATGGCTGGGAGTCCGTATACTGTGTCTGAGTAGGGTATACTAAAACAAGGATTGATTTTGTTGATTATTAGAGACAATTGGATGAAAATCAAATAAATGGCAATTAAATGAAAAAAAGAGGCTTGTGATTTTGTTGCAAATATCAATTTTCCTAAATACACATTTCCGAGAGAGAAAACATTCATAATATTCGTTGAAAGTGTCCAAGTAAAAGTGCTGAAATCACATGCTCCATAATCGTCTTCCAAAACAAACCTATTTGGGTGTGTGGCCTAAAGCTACCAGCGCAGCGGAGACAGGTGTTTTCATTGGCCTATATGTTTACCACATTTATATATTTTATGATTATGTTAATCCTACATAGCACTTTTGGGGTCTAGTGTTAGAGCATCTGCCGGAGAGCAGAAAGTCGGTGGTTCGATCCCCAGGAGACGTACCAAAAGACTTTAAAAGATGGTACTTGTTATACACGTGTAATAACAAGTGTAATAATCTTCAAAGCGCCGTTACACCTGATTTCACCTCACCTGTAATCCTACAGTGATCCTTGATCTTGACACCGTGAATAATTAAAACAACAAGGACCAATTTTTTACTGACATCCTGTTTGGGTAATACGTAAACCACCAACTGTCCTCGGTCCTATTCCACACAATAAATGACTGTCGGGGAGTAAGCCACTGACCTAACAACTGAAGGCATCTTCAGTGTCGTTATTAAAAAGGTGTAAGGTGTCATAAGTTGTGGACACCGGAATCCAATAGATGAGCCGATAGAAAAGAACCCGTAATGTATTTATATATCTGAGCCAGAAGAAGGCAGACTGGGCGTCAACCCTATCATTATCATTGTTGAAATTGCACAATGCCTGAGACACCTGGAAACTGTTTTAACCCCAGTGAGGGGAATCACGTCAGTATGATTTGGTTTGAGCGGAGTTGCTTCCCTTGGAAATGTTAGCTATACCAGGATCTGCTGACCATGTGTTCAAAGATACACCTTATATGATCCGTGGTGTGTCAGCAGCCTACCCAATCTTGTGTGTCTCTCCAAAGTGGAAAGTGTCTGTGAGTTGAATCATTTGCTCCCCAATTTAAGCTGACAAACCAAGATTCTTTTTAAAGCCGTATAAAACTCTTCTCACTCTGTTCCAGGAGCAAAAACAATGGCTTTGTTTCTTTCATCAAAGATGAAGATGCTCTGAAATGTCTTGATGCACCCCACGTACTGCAAGACAGGAGGCTGTTTGTACGTTTGCTGGATACAAGCAAACAAGTAAGTATAAACATTCCCTTCTTGTCGGGACCGCCACTTCAGTTGTCTCGTGGCGGAGCGTCTGTGTCCAGAGATCAGAATGTTGGGGGTTCGATCCCCGGCTGCGTGATACTAAAACATGTACAAAGATGGTACTTGTTGTTACCCTGCCTGGCACACTGCAATTAGGAGCTAAAACTGTCCGGCTTGGAGTCTAGTGGGGTAGACTGTTGCAGAATATCTCAATGGGCTGGCACTATAAAATTGGAATTCCCAGATTGGGGTTGGTGGGGGAGGATGGAGGAGAACAATGTGTTGACAATCATAAGAGTGTGTGTGCTGTGGGGTGGTGGTAGTGATGGTGGTTATAAGATGGATGCCATCTGTCTGTCTTTTCTCTGCCTAATCAGACGTCATTAGCAAGAAATTTGGAACCCTGTTAAGCTAAAAAATGAATAAAAGAGTCGGTTCTCAGGCAATGGCTTTTGAAAATATCGAGCAATTTGGACTTAGCCTCTAAAGGGGGTGTGGATTTTGTTTTGGGAGCACAACACAAAAACCGTTCAATATCTTTCAACAAAACATGGCAGATATATCAAACATAACCTGATGTGGTGCCTTTTGCTACTTAGTCGTGTGTTTAGAATTTTGTATTTTCTGTTTCCATGGCAACAACTTTGACTTTGATTCTATTCATAGAACTAATATGTACTCTTTCTTGAAACTGTGCACATACAAAAATCAGGTTGTCAACTGGTGCCTTTTGCTATATAGGGATTTTTAGAATTTATGATTTTGATTTTAACTCGGTTCATAGGGTGTGCACCTAGGGTGTGCACCTGACATAGAAATACAAAGTTCCAAATCCCAATTCCATGGTTTTGTTTCGATAGCTCAATAACTACTTTTGTATACGTACAAGTATATTAGATGGAAATTCTTTCATCAACTTAGACTTAAAGTAACAGTCAGGTGATTTTTTTTTTCTTGAATTTGTCGGGGCCGGGGGGATTTGTCATCTTCTAATGACTCTTGTTAATTTGGTCATGGTGGAATGGAAACACCTTTTTTTTTCTTTTATAATTATCAAGGAAATTTTTATGCTATGGTTTTCTCTGTTGCAGTCCTCACAGAAGATCAAGCTGTTTGTGTCCAACATACCTACTGGTGCGACTTCCTCCGAACTGACAGAGCACTTCTCCAAGTGGGGAAAAATCCACTCATGCACAATAAGTCGGCAGTAAGTTAATGCAGCATTTCACCACCTCTGTGGTATAGTGGATAGAGCATTTTCCCGGTTGGCTGAAGGTCAGGGGTTCAGTTCCTGACTGGCCCATCAAAAGACATTAAAAGATGGTACTTCTTGTAACCCTGCCTGGCGCTCGGCATTAAGGGGATAAGGAGTCGGTATACTGTGTTAGAGTGGGTATACTAAAACAAGGATGGCTGGGAGTCAGTATACTGTGTCTGAGTGGGGTATCCAAAAACAAACCACACACACACACACAGACACACACACACACACACACACACACACACACACACACACAAGGATGACAAGGTAGAAACAATTTTATGGATAACAACATCTTTAATACTGTAAAAAGCGACGTTTCGGTATAGATCCTTATATCTATACCGAAACGTGGCTTTTTACAGTATTAAAGAAGTTGTTATCCATAAAATTGTTTCTACCTTATCGTCTCTCAAAACAAACCTATTTGCGGGCGTGGCCTAAAGCTACCAGCACAGCAGTGACAAGTGTTTTCATTGGCCTATATGTTTACCACATTTATATATCTTGGGATTATGTTAATTCTACATACCACTTCTGCGGTCCAGTGGTAGAGTGTCCGCTGGTCAGCAGAAGGTCGGTGGTTCGATCCTGAGGGGCGTCATACCAAAAGACGTTAAAAGATGGTGTTACCATGCCTAACAACAAGTGTAGTAATCTTGAACGCGACATTAAACCCCATTTCGCCTCACATGCTAATCCTACAGAGACTCTTGATCTTGACATTGTGAATGATTAAAAGAACAATCAACAATCTGTAACAAGCATTGTTACCGACATCCTGTTTGGGCAATAAACCACCAACTGTCCTCGGTCCTATTCCACACAATGAATGACTGTCGGGGATTAATCCGCTGAGCTAACAACTGAAGGTGACATAAGTTGTGGACACAGGAATCAAATTGATGAGCAGACAGAAGAAGCCGCAATGTATTTATATATCTGAGCCGGAAGCAGGCAGACTGGGCGTCAACCCGATCATTATGATTGTTGAAATTGCACTTCAAACACTGGGGGGGGGGGCACGGGTGGCACAGGTGGCACAGTCGTCTAAGGCGCCGCGATTCGCTGTGCAGAGTTGCACCCCTTGGGCATGCCAGAAACCTATGATTGTGGGTTCAAATCCCGGTTCACCCCAATTATGTTTCTAGGTTTGTCAGCACCATACCCGAGCTCGTGGGTTTCACCGAAGTGGTAAACGTCTTAGACCTGCATCACTTCCGGCTTTCCTCCCACATTAAGCTGACATGCCACGATATAACTGGAATAATGTTAAAAGCGGCGTTAAACCCAACTCACTCACTCACTCAAACACTGGGAGCCCGTTTTAACCCCAGTGAGAGGAATAACGTCAGTATGTTAGCTCTACCAGGATCTGCAAACCATGTGTTCAAAGATACACCTGTGATCCTTGGTTTGTCAGCACCCTACCCAATGTTGTGTGTGTCACCAAAGTGGAAAGTGTCTGCGAGTTGAATCATTTGCTCCCCAATTTAAGCTGACAAACCAAGATACTTTTTAAAGCCATATAAAACTCTTCTCACTCTGTTCCAGAAATAAAAACAATGGCTATGTTTCCTTCGACAAAGATGCAGATGGTCTAAAGTGTCTGGATGTGCCCCACATACTGAAAACCCAGAAGCTGTTTGTATGTCTATTAGACAAAAACACACCGGTAAGTATACACATTCCTTTCTTGTAGGGACTGCCTCCCATGGTCTAGTGGCAGTGTCTGCCCAGAGGGTGGAAGGTTCGATCCCCTGCCATGTCAAACCAAAATACAGTCAAGTCCCGTTAATCCGACATCGATGGTTGCATATGATTATGTCGGATTAATGGGTATGTCGGATAAACGAAATTTTGTAGTATCAATGTTTGTGATCGAAAATCGGACAACTACACGATAGATAAGGATTCAAACATGTAATAAAAAATATAAAATAAATATTCATATTGTTATGTTACATTGTTTGCGGAATTGTTTATTGTTAAGCAAGTTTATCGCTGCAGCCGTTTTAATATGCAGCGACCAGCCGATTCGTCTCGCATCAAAACACGGGCTGTGTACTTGCGGGCAGATGACCACAGGGTACGCTGATCACTGTGTCGGATTAACGAGACTGATTAATGAGTGATTTCGGTAATTCGTTGCAAATTATTTGTGTCGGAGTCGGAGTGTGAGACTGTCGGATTAACGGGTCTAAATAGCACTGATTTAATGGGTTCCCATCATTAGTGTCGGATATAGCCGATTGTCGGATTAATGAGTGTCGGATTAATGAGACTTGACTGACCATTAAAAGATGGTACTTGTTGCTACCCTGTCTGGTGCTCTGCTCTTCTTCGAGTCTGAGCGGGGTAATCATGTTAAAATATGGCATAGTATCTCAATGGGCTGGCACTATAAAATCGAAATCCAAAGGTTGGTGTGGAGGAGAACGATGTGTTGACAGTCATTGAAGTGTGTGTGTTGTTGGGTGGTGATGGTTATAAGAATGGGTGACATCTGTCTGTCTTTTCTCCACCTGATCATTAGCAAGAAATTAGGAACCCTGTTAGAAACATTATTTTATGTTGTTAGCACGATAAATTGTTGGTGGCATTCTCACAGCTAACAGACCTCTACAAGGTTCATACAGACTTGAAAAGTCCTTGACTTTTTGGGGTCTACCCTTAAAAGCATTGAAAATTACCAAAATAGCTTGAAATTGTACAAAATGACATAAACAGTCAAATCTTGTGCAACCGACAATGGGCTTTTATCCATCACTGATGATGGGAACTGAGTAAACCAGTGTTATCTAGTCTTGTTGATCTGAAAGTTTCACAATCTGACTCCGACTCTGACACCCTATTTTTAACAAATTGCGGAAATCAGTCTCAATAATCCGGCACAGCGTACTCCGTGGTCATCTGGCTGCGAGTACTCGGCCCTGTTTTTATATGTGAGATGAGTCGACTAGTGGCTGTATATTACAATGGCTGTAGAGAAATGCTTAACAATAAACAATTAATCCTTTAAATAAACAGAAGAGGATTAATCAAGATTACCTTTATATCATTATAATCTTATCTAAGTTCTAGCTACCGCTGAGGACATCCCTTTACAGGTCTCGTCAAAACGACCTTTAGCAAACTTTGACTGACCGATGAAATGCCTAACAGGAAGTTGACATTAGCCAATAAGAAATCGTTTTCTTGCGCTTTGCTTTCAACAGAATTTTGAATGAGTCATACAACCCGTAACAGTAGCTTTTCGAGGTTCCATGATTAGAAGACATATAAACAGTATAACTTATTAATATTAAGATTTCCTTCTTAATTATTTTATAACAACGTACATGTTTCATTATCTATCGTGTAGTTGTCCAAATTTTGATCACAAAAGTTTTACTTAAGTTTGTTTATCCAACGTAATTGTTATTCAAATATGATCATATTCATCTAACATTGTCTGATTGACAGGACTTGACTGTACTTATAAATAAAAACATTTTGATTCATGAGTGACTTCTTTTTTTTAATTTGTTGGTTGTGACAATAAATCTTGTTGAAAAATATGCGCTATTCATACGTCTTTTTTAGATCTGACAACTAATATATATATTCTATATAACACCCTAGTACAAAGTTGCAGCTTCAAAAAACTTTTCACCCGAACACATCCCAGCATCACCACAGTCACCACCTAAACCAGTGTGTCACTCACTGTAATCCCTTTAATGGCCATTTACAAAAAGTTCCAGTAAACTTGTCAAGACTGAGTTAAAAGATTTAATTTTTGATAGTGATGACACCGTTAACTTTTTTGTTAATACACATCTTCTGTTTCTTGTTTTCAGTTGGAAGAAGCTGCAAAAGGTAGGATTTTCTTTTCTCCACAATCCTGAGTATTGGTATTGGCAGTATACCTGTAATATGATATAAAATACCTTCGTTACCAATGAGGGTCCTTGCATAGCGCCACAGATGTTTCATTTTTTCCTACTTCTGGCTAAAATCACTGGTTTGATTCTCTTGTCTTAAGTATTAGGTGGTCCCAGTGGATATCATCTTCCCGAGGCAAGAGAGTTAACTGACTATAAATGTCCAGTTTCCACCCTTGCTGAACTAGGCTGGTATTATGGAGTTACATTTTGTCTGAACTAACGAGTCTATGCATAGTTCAATCAAAATCGCGCACCGAAATCAATATCCGGTTCGTAAACTGTCGTGCAGATTTCAATCGATTGCAGGATTTGCAAAGCATGTGCACCGCCAACTCGTTGTCAGCAGATATTTTCCAAATTCTTTCATGTTTTTAATCAAGGTGCTCACGTGATTTGATGCATTTCTCGATGTAAGACCCGTTTTATCACAATATAGATCTTGATTATCGATCAGATCGTCCTGACTGGGCCCCACCATTTTGTGTGAAGCAAATGCAAGTGATACGAGCGGTGGAATCTGCTTGGTCCATAGGAGAGGCTTAGAATGGACATAACTGGTAATAGCCACTGGTGGCTCTACGATCGAGCTCAGTAATTCCAGGCTAGTTCGGCAAGGGTGGAAACTGGACTTTTAAAGTCAGTTAAATCTCTTGCCTCAGGAAGATGAGTGGCGATAGTGTTTCAAGATGCTCCTGTTTGCCTGGCTTGCAGGCCATGGTGATACGGATGGGACATTGCTGTAGGCAGATGGGACATTGCTGTAGGCATGGCAAACACTATGATGTAAAAAGATATTCTAAATGAGTCAAATTAAAAGATGAGATATGTTTTAGATGTTGCTTGTTTATTTTTTCCAGATACAACAAATATTTCAGCTGTTCAAGAGGTATGTATGTTCTAAATTCTTTTTCATCATGTTCAAAGATCTATTTGGTGGTGCACTCCACAAACTCTAGGAAAGGTCTTAACAGCACAACTTTTAGGTACCTCCATGTAAGGTCAAGGTCATTGGAGGTCATATTGTGAAACATGGCTCAAATTAGAGGTTATTTTGGATTTATTCATCGGAAAGCAAAGAACTTTCCGATTATGTAAGATACGTGTGCACATTATCTTGAGGCTGTATAATTTGAATATGATGAAACTCATTATATGTAATTTCTAGGGTGGGGTTTTATTTTGAGAAAATTCTTGATGACCTTCGATGGAGAAGGCTACCAGAAACCTTACTGCCAAAACATGAAATCTTCAGTTTAATTGATGATAATACAAAACATGTCAAAAGTTATGGGTCTTTCACACGTTGAAGACTTTACTTTGACGTGAGGACAATGTTACACTACACACTGATCAGACATTAGGGACAAAGATAAATATAGGTAGGTATTTGTGAAGTCTGCTGCTACCTGGTTTTGATAAAGTAAAGATGGTTCATGGTATATTCAAGGAGAGGTGAGGATGGGGCTGCTTCTGTTTTTGTGTGTAAGAGAAACACCTTTCAAATTCAAATTCAATGCTGAAAATGAAAAGTATCTCTGTCATACGTAAACGCCAAGAAAGGCAAGTAAGATCATGCCAGCTTAAACACCTTCCATGTATGTGTTGGTTTGGTGCACAGTTCCTGTAGTAGGGGGTGGAGGGAGAATTTAAGTTGTTTTGAAAAAAATGTTATTACAACAAATAGGAGGGGGGTGGGGCTGGGCACATGAAAATATGTCACTGTCCTATCTAATTTTTTTTCAAATAAAAGAGTTATTTATTTGAACATCATTTGAGGACTGGTCATTTATTTCAGAGAGAAAGAGTCATAGATGAATGTTCTGTATTGGGGAGGGCATACTAAAATGCTATGATGGGTGGAGGGGTCAGCAAAATACAGCCCAGAGACCAATCCAACCCCTAACGCCACCCTCAGACTTATATTTAGGTGAAATCTAACTCTCAGTAAAGGATTCTGTTATAGATGCAGGAGTATTTATCTGTACATGCAGATCTTCCCTTGAGCGTACGACCTTAGCTTGTGAGAAACTCAGAAAATGAATAAATACTAATCAGAACTTTGGCTTGTACTTTGGTGGTCCTAACCCATATGCTGCTGTTCGTATATGGGAAAGAGTTGTTTTACCATGTGGTTTATATGGTTGTAATGTGTTGGCGTGGGTTTCGCTGAAAGAATATGAAATGTTAGAAATAATACAACGATACTTCTGTAAGGAAATGGAAGGGTTTCCAAAACAAACACCCAATGTAATTGTTCGAAAAGTGGTGAGTGTTATATCTCTTCCAAGATATATAGATCCGTGTTCACTTCTTCTCTTGGGGAAACTTCTCAACCCCAAAACAAGGTTTATCTTTAAACATCTATTCATGGCCAGGCTAGCACAGTGTCAGTGTTAAGTAACAGTCATTGAAGCGTAAATGGGATATGATGTCGCCAATACTTAACATGTTACAGCTTGCCACAAAATATAAACTGGGCGATGAAATAAACAACTTTGTATTATATAATTCTTGTATTATTTGGGGCGGTCAGGTAACCTAGTGGTTAAAGCGTTCGCTCGTCACGCCGAAGACCTGGGTTCGATTCCCGACATGAGTACAATGTGTGAAGCCCATTTCTGGTGTCCCCGGCCGTGATATTGCTGGAATATTGCTAAAAGCGGCGTAAAACCATACTCACTCACTCTAGTATTATTCAGAAGAAATCTTGGACCCAATTAGTTAAGAAAGTGTATGCCACCATGATGCATTAACAGTAAAAAGAGAACTTCAGACCAGATTATGACTGTCAAGATACCTCGTCATCAGATCCGGTAGTGCACAGAGGTTAAGGAAACTTGCTAACTTACACTTAGATAACTTTGCTGACATTGCTAGGCTTGCACGCATAGGATCATCCTCTGTACAGTCTAAAGAATGCCAATGTGGCACATAATGATATTGGTAAACATGTTTTTATGTCATGTCATTTCAGCCTCCACGAAAGAGACCTCCTTTTAATAGAATTTGTAATTTCCTTGATGTTGGCATATTTGTAGAATTATGGGAAGAATAAGATATTTTTATGTCTATTGCTTGGGGGTGTACCTGCTGAATGTGAAACGCGTTTCGATTCCCATGTGTGGCAGCAGATGTTTCTCACCATATGTTGCACAATAAGAAAGTGGGCGTTGCTGTTATAACAATGTTTTTATACTGTTGATTTCCACTACCATTAATTTAGCTCTTGTGGTGTAATAACTATACATATTATATAAGCTGTAGTCTTCATAATATGGATTAAATAATGAATATCTATCTATCTAGCTGCTGTCGGGGGATTCCCAAACCCAACCCCCCCAAGTGCTCTTAGAGTGTCACATCATCCTGACAGCTGTATACATATTCCATAAGAAACATTTTGAGAAAGACCAATGTTTCTTCAGCGGCTGTGCAAAAGTAAAAACAATCACCCATTAGACTAGAATACACAGTAACGGCCCAAACACTGCTGAGTTCAGTGTGGAACTTTGAAAATATTCTTCTTCTTTTTTTTTGCAATGGTACTTTGGTACCCTCGGTATCAAATGCACAGGGGTTAAAAGCCAGTTGTGGGGTTTTCCCCAGAACTGAGTAAAAGCACCTGCCCCTTTCACGACCTGGTTCCCAAGTTATTGAATCTTGGTAACTTCACTTTATGCTTTTGTCCAGATTAAGACTGAACACTCACATCCATCATGTAGGTATTCCAGTGACAACACATTGGACGCCTGATGTTCAAGACTATCCTTGTTCACAACCCTGCTTCTAGTGTATTGTCTGGATGCATGGTTTCTGTCTGTAGTGTTATGTTTTCATAAGCTTTATGCAGTGGTTTGCTCTCTGAAATTCTCTGTGAGCATGTCAACTTTTTCACCAAAGTTTTAGGGGGTGATGGGGATGTGTAAAAATGGAGGTATTAACATTTTTTTGTCGTCAAACTCGAATGTGCAACAACATTTTGTAAATGTGACTTTTTCTGTTGCAGAAAAACAAGAAACATCGACTTTTTGTGACCAATGTGCCTGTTGGGACCAACCTAGGGGAGGTGTACAACTACTTCGTGAAGTGGGGGGACCTGGATTACTACGTACTCAAACCAACTGGCGCGTAAGTGCAATTGTCGGTTTTGTTAATACAGCAGAAGACCCCAAGGTCTTCCTCTACCTCTATTTCATCATTGCCAAATTGCTGCATTTTGGCTGCAATCACACTAACTAAGTTTTCAGAATTTGGTCAGGAGTCTGTCAACTACACCATGTACACACAACTAGTTGTCACCACATTAGCACCAATCAGCCTACAGTGGCTAATTGACTAGAACTCAAGCAAGTATAACCTTGTGTTTGTGTGTATGAGTCCATTCCCCTGTCAAAATGGCATCCTTGGCCTCTCCCTCATTGTGTAAATCAGGTGGGCATTTCATAATTTCGAGAGACCCTCATCCGACCTGCTGGAAGAGTAGGGATGTCCTTTGCAGTGAAGACAGCATTGTGAGCAATGTGCCTCCCTCTCTAAGTTGGCATTTAGTAAGTTTATCAAGAAAACCAAGAGAAAGGAAGCAGCTAAAAAGCTGTGGAAGTCATCACAGACCTCAACAATCAGACGACGGCAATGGAATCTTTGTTTGATTCTCGCCTGGCAGCCATTATATCAGAGGTAGAGCCAGCTAAGAAGAACCCCCTAGCAAGGAGACCTCATGGGGGACAAACACAAGGGAAGCTTGACCCGTCAGTCACCAAGAACGTACAACTGTTTGAGGAGGCATCTGATTCACCAACCAGGTGTATGACTATTGCTTTCACTGGATGCATGGCTGGCACGGTCTCCACACGCCAGGACCATCACTAAGAAGATCAGCTATTTAGAGAAAGCACAAGGTACAGCTCCAAAGTGGAGCAGACGGCCAGCCAGTCATCATCATTACAAGGATCATCTCGTTCACCGTGTGGTAGCCACAGGGACCAGGTAGAAGATTGGTAGACATGAACCGGACCGATCGCAGGCCTACTTCAGATTCAAGAACTTCCCATTCACTGTATGGTACAATACAGATGGCCAGCAGACCAATTTCAAAGGGAAGATCCAGTCGTTCATCAAACAGTATCCTCACAGATTCCTTTAGGGTCAAAACAGCTACAGTTACTCTATCATTCTCGTCATTGCAAAGACCATGCACAGGTTCTAAGAGCATCAAGCCAACTGATTTATCGGCTTCTCTTAAGCGCACAGTATCTATTACTGTCTCCATACTGGATACAGTTCTCATGGATGACTACCCTAAAGCGTCTCTTGATAATCAAGCTTATCATCCAAGCGCTGTTAGCCACAGCAAGATTCCACACACTTGATCACACCAGAAATCATAGTCACCTTCAGAGAAGGACATGCATGGTCATGATATATGATGGATTGCCTATCGGAGACCATCCTAAGATTATAGACTATTGCAGTCCTTTCTAATGGAAGATGTAAGCTCACCCAGGACATTTCCAAACAGTCTATTAGTCCTTCTCACAGAACCATTTGAACCAATGGCTCATGCTATATTAATCCATGAAGCAAGGAAAACTGCATTCCTTCTTGCCATGACCACAGCAGCCAGAGTCTCGGAACTCCACGCCTTAGACTATTCAACTCTTCCTCAGGGGACTTCTTCGATAGGGCCTCGTCACTTGTATAGATTGTACTGGACATGATGAGATAGTGGATAGAATAGATTTCAAGCACCAATGTCTGTAAGGGGGGACTTCAATAGGGCCTCGTCACTTGTATAGATTGTACTGGGCATGATGAGATAGTGGATAGAATAGATTTCAAGCACCAATGTCTATAAGGGGGGACTTCAATAGGGCCTCGTCACTTGTATAGATTGTACTGGGCATGATGAGATAGTGGATAGAATAGATTTCAAGCACCAATGTCTATAAGGGGGGACTTCAATAGGGCCTCGTCACTTGTATAGATTGTACTGGACATGATGAGATAGTGGATAGATTAGATTTCAAGCACCAATGTCTGTAAGGGGGGACTTCGATATGGCCTCTTCACTTGTATAGATTGTACTGGGCATGATGAGATAGTGGATAGATTAGAATTCAAGCACCAATGTCTATAAGGGGGGACTTCGATAGGGCCTTGTCACTTGTATAGATTGTACTGGGCATGATGAGATAGTGGATAGAATAGATTTCAAGCACCAATGTCTATAAGGGGGGACTTCAATAGGGCCTCGTCACTTGTATAGATTGTACTGGACATGATGAGATAGTAGATAGAATAGATTTCAAGCACCAATGTCTATAAGGGGGGACTTCAATAGGGCCTCGTCACTTGTATAGATTGTACTGGACATGATGAGATAGTGGATAGAATAGATTTCAAGCACCAATGTCTGTAAGGGGGGACTTCGATAGGTCTTCGTCACTTGTATAGATTGTACTGGACATGATGAGATAGTGGATAGAATAGATTTCAAGCACCAATGTCTGTAAGGGGGGACTTCGATATGGCCTCGTCACTTGTATAGATTGTACTGGGCATGATGAGATAGTGGATAGATTAGATTTCAAGCACCAATGTCTGTAAGGGGGGACTTCGATATGGCCTCGTCACTTGTATAGATTGTACTGGGCATGATGAGATAGTGGATAGATTAGATTTCAAGCACCAATGTCTGTAAGGGGGGACTTCTTCGATAGGGCCTCGTCACTTGTATAGATTGTACTGGGCATGATGAGATAGTGGATAGATTAGATTTCAAGCACCAATGTCTGTAAGGGGGGACTTCAATAGGGCCTCGTCACTTGTATAGATTGTACTGGGCATGATGAGATAGTGGATAGATTAGATTTCAAGCACCAATGTCTGTAAGGGGGGACTTCAATAGGGCCTCGTCACTTGTATAGATTGTACTGGGCATGATGAGATAGTGGATAGATTAGATTTCAAGCACCAATGTCTGTAAGGGGGGACTTCGATAGGGCCTCGTCACTTGTATAGATTGTACTGGGCATGATGAGATAGTGGATAGATTAGATTTCAAGCACCAATGTCTGTAAGGGGGGACTTCGATAGGGCCTCGTCACTTGTATAGATTGTACTGGGCATGATGAGATAGTGGATAGATTAGATTTCAAGCGTCAATGTCTGTAAGGGGGGACTTCGATAGGGCCTCGTCACTTGTATAGATTGTACTGGGCATGATGAGATAGTGGATAGATTAGATTTCAAGCACCAATGTCTGTAAGGGGGGACTTCGATAGGGCCTCGTCACTTGTATAGATTGTACTGGGCATGATGAGATAGTGGATAGATTAGATTTCAAGCACCAATGTCTGTAAGGGGGGACTTCAATAGGGCCTCGTCACTTGTATAGATTGTACTGGGCATGATGAGATAGTGGATAGATTAGATTTCAAGCACCAATGTCTGTAAGGGGGGACTTCGATAGGGCCTCGTCACTTGTATAGATTGTACTGGGCATGATGAGATAGTGGATAGATTAGATTTCAAGCACCAATGTCTGTAAGGGGGGACTTCGATAGGGCCTCGTCACTTGTATAGATTGTACTGGGCATGATGAGATAGTGGATAGTATAGATTTCAAGCACCAATGTCTGTAAGGGGGGACTTCAATAGGGCCTCGTCACTTGTATAGATTGTACTGGGCATGATGAGATAGTGGATAGATTAGATTTCAAGCACCAATGTCTGTAAGGGGGGACTTCGATAGGGCCTCGTCACTTGTATAGATTGTACTGGGCATGATGAGATAGTGGATAGATTAGATTTCAAGCACCAATGTCTGTAAGGGGGGACTTCAATAGGGCCTCGTCACTTGTATAGATTGTACTGGACATGTCGAGATAGTGGATAGAATAGATTTCAAGCACCAATGTCTGTAAGGGGGGACTTCAATAGGGCCTCGTCACTTGTATAGATTGTACTGGACATGTCGAGATAGTGGATAGATTAGATTTCAAGCACCAATGTCTATAAGGGGGGACTTCGATAGGGCCTCGTCACTTGTATAGATTGTACTGGACATGATGAGATAGTGGATAGATTAGATTTCAAGCACCAATGTCTGTAAGGGGGGACTTCAATAGGGCCTCGTCACTTGTATAGATTGTACTGGACATGATGAGATAGTGGATAGAATAGATTTCAAGCACCAATGTCTGTAAGGGGGGACTTCGATAGGGCTTCGTCACTTGTATAGATTGTACTGGACATGATGAGATAGTGGATAGAATAGATTTCAAGCACCAATGTCTGTAAGGGGGGACTTCAATAGGGCTTCGTCACTTGTATAGATTGTACTGGACATGATGAGATAGTGGATAGAATAGATTTCAAGCACCAATGTCTGTAAGGGGGGACTTCGATAGGGCTTCGTCACTTGTATAGATTGTACTGGACATGATGAGATAGTGGATAGAATAGATTTCAAGCACCAATGTCTGTAAGGGGGGACTTCGATATGGCCTCGTCACTTGTATAGATTGTACTGGGCATGATGAGATAGTGGATAGATTAGATTTCAAGCACCAATGTCTGTAAGGGGGGACTTCGATAGGGCCTCGTCACTTGTATAGATTGTACTGGGCATGATGAGATAGTGGATAGATTAGATTTCAAGCACCAATGTCTGTAAGGGGGGACTTCTTCGATAGGGCCTCGTCACTTGTATAGATTGTACTGGGCATGATGAGATAGTGGATAGATTAGATTTCAAGCACCAATGTCTGTAAGGGGGGACTTCAATAGGGCCTCGTCACTTGTATAGATTGTACTGGGCATGATGAGATAGTGGATAGATTAGATTTCAAGCACCAATGTCTGTAAGGGGGGACTTCAATAGGGCCTCGTCACTTGTATAGATTGTACTGGGCATGATGAGATAGTGGATAGATTAGATTTCAAGCACCAATGTCTGTAAGGGGGGACTTCGATAGGGCCTCGTCACTTGTATAGATTGTACTGGGCGTGATGAGATAGTGGATAGATTAGATTTCAAGCACCAATGTCTGTAAGGGGGGACTTCGATATGGCCTCGTCACTTGTATAGATTGTACTGGGCATGATGAGATAGTGGATAGATTAGATTTCAAGCACCAATGTCTGTAAGGGGGGACTTCGATAGGGCCTCGTCACTTGTATAGATTGTACTGGGCATGATGAGATAGTGGATAGATTAGATTTCAAGCACCAATGTCTGTAAGGGGGGACTTCGATAGGGCCTCGTCACTTGTATAGATTGTACTGGGCATGATGAGATAGTGGATAGATTAGATTTCAAGCACCAATGTCTGTAAGGGGGGACTTCAATAGGGCCTCGTCACTTGTATAGATTGTACTGGGCATGATGAGATAGTGGATAGATTAGATTTCAAGCACCAATGTCTGTAAGGGGGGACTTCGATAGGGCCTCGTCACTTGTATAGATTGTACTGGGCATGATGAGATAGTGGATAGATTAGATTTCAAGCACCAATGTCTGTAAGGGGGGACTTCGATAGGGCCTCGTCACTTGTATAGATTGTACTGGGCATGATGAGATAGTGGATAGTATAGATTTCAAGCACCAATGTCTGTAAGGGGGGACTTCAATAGGGCCTCGTCACTTGTATAGATTGTACTGGGCATGATGAGATAGTGGATAGATTAGATTTCAAGCACCAATGTCTGTAAGGGGGGACTTCGATAGGGCCTCGTCACTTGTATAGATTGTACTGGGCATGATGAGATAGTGGATAGATTAGATTTCAAGCACCAATGTCTGTAAGGGGGGACTTCAATAGGGCCTCGTCACTTGTATAGATTGTACTGGACATGTCGAGATAGTGGATAGAATAGATTTCAAGCACCAATGTCTGTAAGGGGGGACTTCAATAGGGCCTCGTCACTTGTATAGATTGTACTGGACATGTCGAGATAGTGGATAGAATAGATTTCAAGCACCAATGTTTGTAAGGGGGGACTTCAATAGGGCCTCTTCACTTGTATAGATTGTACTGGACATGATGAGATAGTGGATAGAATAGATTTCAAGCACCAATGTCTGTAAGGGGGGACTTCAATAGGGCCTCGTCACTTGTATAGATTGTACTGGACATGATGAGATAGTGGATAGATTAGATTTCAAGCACCAATGTCTATAAGGGGGGACTTCAATAGTGCCTCTTCACTTGTATAGATTGTACTGGACATGATGAGATAGTGGATAGATTAGATTTCAAGCACCAATGTCTGTAAGGGGGGACTTCGATAGGGCCTCGTCACTTGTATAGATTGTACTGGGCATGATGAGATAGTGGATAGTATAGATTTCAAGCACCAATGTCTGTAAGGGGGGACTTCAATAGGGCCTCGTCACTTGTATAGATTGTACTGGGCATGATGAGATAGTGGATAGATTAGATTTCAAGCACCAATGTCTGTAAGGGGGGACTTCGATAGGGCCTCGTCACTTGTATAGATTGTACTGGGCATGATGAGATAGTGGATAGATTAGATTTCAAGCACCAATGTCTGTAAGGGGGGACTTCAATAGTGCCTCGTCACTTGTATAGATTGTACTGGACATGTCGAGATAGTGGATAGAATAGATTTCAAGCACCAATGTCTGTAAGGGGGGACTTCAATAGGGCCTCGTCACTTGTATAGATTGTACTGGACATGTTGAGATAGTGGATAGAATAGATTTCAAGCACCAATGTTTGTAAGGGGGGACTTCAATAGGGCCTCTTCACTTGTATAGATTGTACTGGACATGATGAGATAGTGGATAGAATAGATTTCAAGCACCAATGTCTGTAAGGGGGGACTTCAATAGGGCCTCGTCACTTGTATAGATTGTACTGGACATGATGAGATAGTGGATAGAATAGATTTCAAGCACCAATGTCTATAAGGGGGGACTTCAATAGTGCCTCTTCACTTGTATAGATTGTACTGGGCATGATGAGATAGTGGATAGATTAGATTTCAAGCACCAATGTCTGTAAGGGGGGACTTCAATAGGGCCTCGTCACTTGTATAGATTGTACTGGACATGATGAGATAGTGGATAGTATAGATTTCAAGCACCAATGTCTGTAAGGGGGGACTTCAATAGGGCCTCGTCACTTGTATAGATTGTACTGGACATGATGAGATAGTGGATAGAATAGATTTCAAGCACCAATGTCTGTAAGGGGGGACTTCAATAGTGCCTCGTCACTTGTATAGATTGTACTGGACATGATGAGATAGTGGATAGTATAGATTTCAAGCACCAATGTCTGTAAGGTGGGACTTCGATATGGCCTCGTCACTTGTATAGATTGTACTGGGCATGATGAGATAGTGGATAGATTAGATTTCAAGCACCAATGTCTGTAAGGGGGGACTTCGATATGGCCTCGTCACTTGTATAGATTGTACTGGACATGATGAGATAGTGGATAGAATAGATTTCAAGAACCAATGTCTGTAAGGGGGGACTTCAATAGGGCCTCGTCACTTGTATAGATTGTACTGGACATGTCGAGATAGTGGATAGAATAGATTTCAAGCACCAATGTCTATAAGGGGGGACTTCAATAGGGCCTCTTCACTTGTATAGATTGTACTGGACATGATGAGAAAGTGGATAGAATAGATTTCAAGCACCAATGTCTGTAAGGGGGGACTTCAATAGGGCCTCTTCACTTGTATAGATTGTACTGGACATGATGAGATAGTGGATAGAATAGATTTCAAGCACCAATGTCTGTAAGGGGGGACTTCAATAGGGCCTCATCACTTGTATAGATTGTACTGGACATGATGAGATAGTGGATAGAATAGATTTCAAGCACCAATGTCTATAAGGGGGGATTTCGATATGGCCTCTTCACTTGTATAGATTGTACTGGACATGATGAGATAGTGGATAGAATAGATTTCAAGCACCAATGTCTATAAGGGGGGACTTCGATAGGGCTTCGTCACTTGTATAGAGTGTACTGGACATAATGAGAAAGTGGATAGATTAGATTTCAAGCACCAATGTCTGTAAGGGGGGACTTCAATAGGGCCTCGTCACTTGTATAGATTGTACTGGACATGATGAGATGGTGGATAGAATAGATTTCAAGCACCAATGTCTGTAAGGGGGGACTTCAATAGGGCCTCGTCACTTGTATAGATTGTACTGGACATGATGAGATAGTGGATAGTATAGATTTCAAGCACCAATGTCTGTAAGGGGGGACTTCAATAGGGCCTCGTCACTTGTATAGATTGTACTGGACATGATGAGATAGTGGATAGAATAGATTTCAAGCACCAATGTCTATAAGGGGGGATTTCGATATGGCCTCTTCACTTGTATAGATTGTACTGGACATGATGAGATAGTGGATAGATAAGATTTCAAGCACCAATGTCTGTAAGGGGGGACTTCGAAAGGGCTTCGTCACTTGTATAGATTTTACTGGACATAATGAGAAAGTGGATAGATTAGATTTCAAGCACCAATGTCTGTAAGGGGGGACTTCAATAGGGCCTCGTCACTTGTATAGATTGTACTGGACATGATGAGATAGTGGATAGAATAGATTTCAAGCACCAATGTCTGTAAGGGGGGACTTCAATAGGGCCTCGTCACTTGTATAGATTGTACTGGACATGATGAGATAGTGGATAGATTAGATTTCAAGCACCAATGTCTGTAAGGGGGGACTTCAATAGTGCTTCGTCACTTGTATAGATTGTACTGGACATGATGAGATAGTGGATAGTTTAGATTTCAAGCACCAATGTCTGTTGGGGGGGGACTTCAATAGGGCCTCGTCACTTGTATAGATTGTACTGGACATGATGAGATAGTGGATAGAATAGATTTCAAGCACCAATGTCTGTAAGGGGGGACTTTAATAGTGCCTCGTCACTTGTATAGATTGTACTGGACATGTTGAGATAGTGGATAGAATAGATTTCAAGCACCAATGTCTGTAAGGGGGGACTTCAATAGGGCCTCGTCACTTGTATAGATTGTACTGGACATGATGAGATAGTGGATAGAATAGATTTCAAGCACCAATGTCTGTAAGGGGGGACTTCAATAGGGCCTCTTCACTTGTATAGATTGTACTGGACATGATGAGATAGTGGATAGATTAGATTTCAAGCACCAATGTCTATAAGGGGGGACTTCGATAGTGCCTCTTCACTTGTATAGATTGTACTGGACATGATGAGATAGTGGATAGATTAGATTTCAAGCACCAATGTCTGTAAGGGGGGACTTCGATATGGCCTCGTCACTTGTATAGATTGTACTGGACATGATGAGATAGTGGATAGAATAGATTTCAAGCACCAATGTCTGTAAGGGGGGACTTCGATAGGGCCTCGTCACTTGTATAGATTGTACTGGACATGATGAGAAAGTGATTAGATTAGATTTCAAGCACCAATGTCTGTAAGGGAGGACTTTAATAGTGCCTCGTCACTTGTATAAATTGTACTGGACATGATGAGATAGTGGATAGAATAGATTTCAAGCACCAATGTCTATAAGGGGGGACTTCGATATGGCCTCTTCACTTGTATAGATTGTACTGGACATAATGAGTTAGTGGTTAGAATAGGTTCTCAGCACCTATGTCTATGAGGGAACTATGTGACCCCCTAAGACATCCATGTCCCTTATGACTGTTGCCTATACCGACTAATCTTTCTTTCCAGAAATAAGCTGATGGCGGTTTTAACCTATGTGAACGAAGAGGATGCTCTGCGATGCTTGGATGCCGTTCACACTCTGAATGGCAGTCAGTTGTCTGTGCGCTGCTCCGTCAGTAAAGGGGTAAGTGAACTAATTCTTTTCTCAGGTAATCTGGCTTAAAGGACTAAATGAGAGGATATGTCTCGTTTGATGTCTAGCAGCTTTTTTTACATGTTTATGTCTTCTCTAATATCCATACAACACACCCAATGTATTCTGTTTGGATTTAGGGGCAGAATAGGTCCCCACAACTGCATGCTTGTCTTCATGAGGAGATTCCAGGTCCCCAGTACCCCATGATAGCCTCCCTGTAGAGATTCGAGAGCAGAACAGGTCCCCAGTACCCCATGCTAGCCTCCCTGTAGAGATTCGAGAGCAGAACAGGTCCCCAGTACCCCATGCTAGCCTCCCTGTGGAGATTCCAGGGCAGAACAGGTCCCCAGTACCCCATGCTAGCCTCCGTGTGGAGATTCCAGGGCAGAACAGGTCCCCAGTACTCTGTGTGATCGAAACTCAATTATGATGTTCAACTCTAGCAAAATGGATATTGCACTATGCAAATTTTGTCTTTACTGTAATATTCCTTATTGCTGGAATGTCTTGTTTTCACTTCATGAGTATTAGCGCACATTATTTCGTGATTCTATTTCAACTGGCGAGAATTATCAGCAGAATATGATATAATTCAAAATAGTTATCATTAAGTATTCTGACAGCTTGAAAGATAAGAAAACAACCTTTGGATCCCTTAAATGGCTTTTCGTTTTTTATACAAAATAACTTGTCTGGCACATTTACACCCCTTGAGTGTTATATCACTGAGTGAAGGTGAGATTCTGCACCCATGCTACTCTGGTGCAGTCATCTGAACAAGGTGAAGTATTTGTGATTGAAAATAAAATAATGATATTGCAATCTCATTAAAATCAGATCTTAGTTCTCGCTACTGCTAAACAAAGATCTGAGGACATCCCATTAGGGGTCACGTTAGAACGACCTTACATCCGACCAATCAGAGCGTCGCTTACCAGATCATGAAAGTGACAGTGGGAATGTGATTTCGACTTTAACACGAGGTATTCCGAATGATAGTCGACTTCTTGTCAGTCATTCCATTGGTCGGTCAAAGTTCGCACAAGGTCGGTCCGACGTGACCCGTAATGGGGTGTCTAAGATCTGATATTAATGAGATTGATATTTGCCACACCCATACCATTATAAAATTTACAACGAAAATATGAAAAAAGCACTTTATGTATAGTTCATTTTTTATTTATTACAGGTGCAGAAACCACTTAGAGGTAAGAAAATAAAGTTTTCTGTTCTTTTCATATAGATGCCTGTGGGTATTCAGGGACAGAAACAACCTCAAAGGGTACTAAGATCTAATTTGAATGAGATTGGGACAGCAAAAAGGACCCAAGTCGATTATTCGGTCCCAAGACTGATATGGACTGGGTCTGCCCAAATGAATCTAATATGGCCACCACTGCAGCCATATTGAATAACCTTTTTTATTGCCATTACTCAGTCATTTTTTTCAAAATGTAATGAAGTTTGGTATTTGTTTAAAAAGTCACATATATTGATCATTGAATTTTTCAGTTGTTTTTACCATGTTTACCATGTTTACCATGCACTTAAATTCTCTCAAAATGCATATTTGGCTTTGCATTCACTGACAAATGTCACGTTAGCAAATTATTCCAAGAAATGAGAAGATTTGAAGCTCACTAACTACTCTTGTATACCTACGGACAGATAGATTAGAGAGAAATTCTCTCATTAAATTGGACTTACTGTAACAATCAGATAATTTGTTCTTTCAAATTTGTGTGGGCCGGGAAGACTTGTCATCTTCTGATGACTCTTGTTTTGAAAATGTAATCTATCAATCCCTGCCCTGCCTGTTACAAGGGTTATCAGAAAGTGGATGAGGGAAGAACCTAGTGTTAACAGAGCCCAGATTAGCTTATGGTTATTTGGTGCTTTACACAGGGGTTTGATTTTGATTGGTATTCAGTTTTAGAGGGTTCTCAATTTTTTGTACACATCTTGACATTTTGGTAATTAACTAGAAAACTACATAGTGTTTATTCCCAATACAGGATATTTACCATTCCCAAACACACAAGCGTGATAACCTCTTTATCATACGATGTCATTCTTTAATTCTGAGCTTGAAAATCGCTTTCACTCTCTCACAAACATTACAGAAACAGTGCGAGTTTTCCTGGAATGCGCCCATTAATATTTATTTAGTCACAGGGTAAGTGATGTGTCAGTCGGACAGTGACAGTAGCCAATATAGTTCCAACTGAAATCTGTTTCTTATACACTGGCGAAGCAACATATATGTAAAACGACAATTGTTTTTACTTGCCTTTGGCGGCAATTCATTGGTCTGTCCGCTAGAGTAACTGCCCTTTGTCAAAGGGAAGCTACTCTAACCCTAGTCTATGAGACGTCACGGCCACATTCAGACGTTGTTGACAGTCAGCCTGTCCTGTCATAACGTTTAGTGCAGTCAGATGTACACACAGTGACAAAACGAAACAAGGTAACAATTCAAACATATTTCAGCTAAATCCAACTATTTTAATTTGTGGAAAAGGTTTCAAGCCGCAGAGGTAGAGGTCCACAAGCACAGATATGGCTACTGATCCCGCTTGGCTAGGCCTAGTGCCCTCGCAAAATTGTTTCGAAATTTCTCCAAAGTTGCCAAAACTTATAAAATGCCTTAGCTATGTCACAGTTGGACACTGACTTTCAGTATATTAGACTGTTCTTTTGATAATGATAGCAATTATCACTTTAGTTTATCCAGATTCCCGATGGTTAATTCTGACTTGATCGCCGAATGACAAGGGCGACGCCATGTTTGTTTATTAACACTGAAAGTAGTCCCTACTTGACCTTTGATATCTGCATCTCTATCCGCATGTGACCCCAACGGATATTGGTTTTTTCCGTTGGCTTTATCCTGCCGAGAAACCTACCCATTATATGATAATAGTATATATACACAATCATTTTATCTAATATTTGTGACCTTTGAAGATCCGGGGAAGAATAGGTCTTCAATTTGCTGTTATATTGTTACAGGAGTAATGTGGCTGTGATACTGCTGCATTATTGCTGTAATGTTGCTGTGATACAAGAGTAATGTGGCTGTAATGCTGCTGTGATATTACCATGTTACTGACTATAACACAAATATACATTCATGCTTCATGCTTTGTGAACAGCTTCCGACGCTCATAAATCTGATGTCACCCGGGATGCTCCTGCTAGACCTGCAAGATCTGCCCAGAATGCTCCTGCTAGACCTGCCAGATCTCCCCAGAATGCTCCAGCTAGACCTGCAAGATCTCCCCAGGATGCTCTTGTTAGACCTGCAAGATCTCCCCAGGATGCTTTTGTTAGACCTGCAAGATCTCCCCAGGATGCTCTTGTTAGACCTGCAAGATCTCCCCAGGATGCGCTTGCTAGACCTGCAAGATCTGCCCAGGATGCTCCTGCTAGACCTGCAAGATCTGCCAGACCCGCCAGTCCTGTGAGTCACTTAGTCTTTGCTTTAACCAAGCTTGAAGTCCTAGGTTACTTTCAAAGTTGTGTCATGTATACAAGTCTTGTATATTCAATGACATTGTTACCAGAAGACAAGGGGGAGTTCATATTCAAAGATACTGTTACCAGTAGAGAAGTGGAAGTTCATTTTCAATAACAGTGTTACTGGTAGACAAGAGGATGTTCATGCTCAATAACATTGTTGCCATTGTTATTTCTTCAATTCAACAACATAAAATATTGTGAATATTTACGTCAGTCAATGAGAAAGTGGCATTTAGACGACAGTTTTCATGTTCTGTGTTTTTGACAGTTTGATATATATTCATTGCTTCCATGGTCTAGTGGATAGAGTGTCTACCCAGAGAGTGGAAGGTCGGTGGTTAGATCCATGTCAGCATTATTCCAAAAGACATTAATAGATGGTACTTGTTGGTACCCGGCCTGGCACTTGGCATTTATGGTATAAAACAAGGACTGGTTAACTTGGAATTGGTATATACTGTGTCTGAGTGGGGCCATAAATCCTACAAAAGTCCACACTAGTACAAGCAGGCACTTGCTATTTAAGTGCAATATTACAGCCATTTCACCTCACCTCACCTCACCTCTCCTCACCTCACCTCACCTCACCTCACCTCACCTCACCTCACACTTGTTTTGGTGATCGTCTCCGTGGGCAAGTGGTAGAGCGTCCGACCGAAGAGCGGAAGGTCTGGGGTTTGATCCCCAGCCGTGTCATACCAAAATATGTTAAAAGATGGTACTTGTTGTTACCCTGTCTGTCCCTCGGCATTAAGGGGCTAAAACAAGGACTTGTCAGCTCAGAGTCAGTATACTGTGTCTGTGTGGGGTATTCATGTTAAACTGCGGCATGGTATCTCAGTGGGCTAGCACTATAAAGGTCAGGACTAGTACAAGCAGCCACAATCAAACACACACACACAGACGTGCATGCACATCGCTATATAAGTGCAATAATCTTGGACACGACGTTAAACCTCATTTCACCTCACCTTATTGTGGTATACTATAATTTAAGTGTTGTGTTAGACATTTTGGGTTTAGTCAATATAGTGATGATCAATTGTTGAGTCTATGTTGCCACTCGGTGCTGGTTCTGGAGTCCATTTTCTATGCCAACTCATCTGTTTTCCTCTTGGTAGATGTGGGTATGAATTTGAGACCTTTGGCTAGGAGGGTTTCATGTGCTTGGATCAGGGTTTTGCTGCTCAGATTGACTACAGTTTTGAATGTGCCAGGTATTATTTCTGGAATGAGTTGGTTGTTTGTTGCTTTGCGACTTAAGCTCTTGGAACTTACGGAACTTTGGTCTTTTGATGGATACATGTGGCGTTTCTCTCTGTTAACTTTCGGATCTTGTTGAAGATAGGTGGTAACAGGGTTTTCTTCAGCTAAGTGTCCTGTACATGAACTTTGAAGTAACTAGAAGTAGCTCTGAAAAGTGACAAAGAATAAACAGAGTTGTTATCAATAATAAGTGTGAGGATCTGGTTGTCAACCTAGCTGTGCTAGAGTTATGTTTCCTGGCGACAGGATTTGTTGTCAACCCTGTTGTGCAGAGTTACATCCCCTGGCTACAGGAGCTGATTGTCAACTCAGATGTGCAAAGTTACGTCCCATAGCAACAAGATCTGTTTGTATAATGTAATTACAACAGAAATTATGACAATTTCATAATGATACACTTCTCTTCACACTTCAAACATTGTATGCGCCTCTTTGAATAGCATCCACATAATTGTTGCTACTTTATATATTTACAGGATCCAATTACTTTCTAAAACCTATAACATATGTCAGCTAACACCAGCTTTACATGCTTCAATATTGTTTCTTCAGAGGCAGTCAACAGAAGCCTTTCAATCTTGGAGGAAACAAAGGTACCATGAAACTGTCCAAACACGAATATTGCCTGAAACTGTAAAATCACAGAGATTAGTTAGCCATCCACAAGATGCCATGGAGCCACAAAGGTTGCCTGAAGATGCTGAGTCACGAAGGATGTCTGAAGATTTCCTGTCACGAGGAATGCCTGAAGGTGTCCAACCACAAAGGTTGCCTGAAGATGCCAAATCACGAAGGATGCCTGAGAATGTCCAGTCACGTAGGATACCTGAAGATATACATCCACAAAAGTTACCTGAAGTGTACCAGCCAAGGTTGTTGCCTGAAGATGTCCAGCCAAGAAGGCAGTCCAGCCCAGAACATTTTGTTCCAGGTTTGACACCAGCAGACAGTGTCTCAGGCACACCACCAAATATTCCATTAGGAACTGAATATGACTGCAATGTTTCTGGATGTTTCTATAAAGGAACATCATTGCAGTTTGAGCGTCACTGGACAGAGCGACATGAAGCAAAGGTTGTCGATCTCATCTGTCCATTTTGTAGTATGGGATGTGTGGACGCAGATGATTTTTGTGAACACCTGGATTTCTTTCACGGGGTCGAGGACAAGATAGAAAAGTCAAAGTTCCTACAAAAGGCTAAACAAGAAGAGAGAGATAACATTCACTATGTCATGCCAGGCAGTGTGACAAAGGAAAGCTGTATGAGAGTTGCAGAGCCTGTTCAACATGAACCAACCAGATTAAAAGCACCACCCCCATTAAAAGAAGATGCTAGAGATGCCCACAAGTTCACAGAATGCACGTTTACTGGCACTATGGATGCGTCCCTTAACCTACAGAACAAAAACCATGTTTCTGAACTCACTCACCTTAGGTGTCCAATATGCCCTAAAACATTCAAAAAGAAAGCAGCTCTTCAGTTTCATATGAAACATGTGCATCCGAACATAGAGATGTACACTGAAAAAGAACCAGAAGATCTTGAAGCCAACTTTGAAGAGTCTCAGAACTGTAGTCTTGAGAGTAGTCAGCATGAAACTGAAGAAGAAGTAACCAGATCCCAGACACACATACAAACAATTTCAGGTATGGGTTCAAGAAGTATTCATGATGGAAACAGGTCTACGAAGGAAAAGCGTACATCCAGTCCACCATTGCAGTCTTTCCAGAATGTGTCAAGGCCCAACTTGGTACCCAGCTTGCCAACCCAGCAGCCTGTTCCCAGACTTGATCCACCACCTCTGGCAACCCATGTGCCACTTCCTCCACTACAGCTTATTCAGTCTCAACAAACAATTGTCAGTGCTCCGCCATTGATGGACAGACACCCAGTCCCACCTCCTACAGATATACCCACCCAACAAGCAGTTCCTTTACTTGGGGTTGTAACACCCTTCTATCCCTCCACAGCATCGGTCCCCAATCCTGTGCCACCTCCCCCTAGACCTTCAGTCTCGACGCCTCAGCTTGCTGTAGCAAGCCCGTTACATCTTCTAGCATATCCTCAGCCATCTGATACTGGAATTGCAAATACCTTTACTCAAAAAACTGTGGCCGCTGCTTCAAGGCCTGTTGTTGGTACTCAATCACACATAGTTCCTCCTATAAGCTTTTCTCAAGCTCCATTTCAACCCGAAGTAAGTGCACAATCACAGCAAGCTCCAATAATGGCTCCACAACAGTCCCAAGTTGGTGATACAGTAACTCCTTCAGTTGTTCCACAAACTTATCCTCAAGCAGTTACTCCACCACAACTCCCACTGACTGGGCAAGTAATCAGTCAATCTCTGCAACATGGAAGTGCACCTCAACCTGTTCAGCCACAAATGTCTCAGCCAGAGGTACTAATGAAACAACCACCTGTTGATTCCCAGTCAGTAACAATGCCAAGTGCAGATCCTTGCTCCACTCCTCCACTCAATCCTCTGGATTTAATCAATGTTTACAAGGGCTCCAAAGAAACTCAGAAAAGGTCAACAAAAGATGTACAGAAAAGGCTTTCAAAACAGGAGAAAACCAGCAATGAACCACAGAATGGATTCCACATGATGGAAAGATTAGAGGATGCAAATATTAAATTAAGAAGAAGGCTTAAAGCAGATGTGGGGGAAGAAGAAGAGGATGATAAAGAACATGAAGGGCCAAAGGAAACGTTGGAGGAGTTTTCAGATAACAGTGGTCAGTCAAGGAAAGACCTCCAGCAAAGGACAGATCCCCATGGTCAAACAAGTGACGACATTCAGCAAAGGACAGATAAAGACTCTCGGGCAAGAGATAAATTTCAGCGAAGGACAGATTATGGTGTTGATACAGATCCAAAGGAAATGTTGAAGGAGTCTTCAGATGAAGAATCAAATGTAAATTTGGAAGTTAAAGGAACATTAAGCCAAGCACATGGGGATATGAGAGCAAGAGCGCGAACTATTGCTAAGAAAGTGGTTGGAGACTATAGAAATGAGCAAGTAGCGGGGAAAACTACAAACATACACACAAAGGCTGCAACTGTGTCACCTGCAAGGAATCAAGGACATTCTAAAGAAGGGAAGATAAAACCAGGGCTGGTTGACAATAAGGTCTTAGGTCAGTTGCTTATGAAGTCCATTGGCATGGTGAAGTATCAGTCAAAGAGAGCTAATGTAGATGCTGATTTAATTAGAAAAGGTATTTCATGGGCTAAAAATGAGATTATAGATATGCTTAAACAAGATGAGAAGATGACATTGACTGAAACAGATGAAGGAAGTAGAGAGGCAGGTTTTCAGCAAAGGACAGATAACCGTGAATGGTCAAGAAAAGAATTTCAGCAAAGGACAGATAACTGCCCTCGGTCAAGGAATAAATTTCAGCAAAGGACAGACAACAGTGGTCAGGCAGGTGAAGACCTTCAGCAAAGGGCAGATAACCATAGTCATGAAGGTGAAGACCTCCAGCAAAGGGCAGATAATCACCCTTGCTTAAGGAATAGATTTCAGCTAAGGACAGATAACCGTGGTTGTTCAAGTAAAGACCTCCAGCAAAGGACAGATTACCGAAGCCATACAGGTGAAGACCTCCAGCAAAGGGCAGATTACCGAAGTCGTACAGGTGAAGACCTCCAGCAAAGGGCAGATAATCATGGTCAGGCAGGTGAAGACCTTCAGCAATGGGCGGATCACCGTGGTCGAACAAGAGAAGACGACCAGCGAAGGACAGATAAACAGGCTCGGTCAAGCAATAAATTTTATCAAAGGACAGATAACCCTGGTTGGTCAAGGAAAGAATTTCAGAACAGGAGAGATTGGAATGTGGAAAAAGAGGAACATGTGGAAGTGTACGTGGATGAATATGGGAATGAAGATGAAGAATATGTTCTGGCCTATGTGGATGAAGATGGAGTTCATGTGATGGATGATGGTTTTGTGATGGGAGAGGGAGGTCCTGTTAAAAAGGGAGAGCAAATGGGTGAAGAAACTGATGACATGTATTATGGAATAGACCAGGGGTCAAGGAGCAATAGAATCAGGGAAGAGTCAAGAAGCCATGGTCAAAGAGGCTATGGAGGAGGAGAAACAACAAGTGGTCACAGAATTCTTGATGAAAGAGACATGCAGATTTACGAGAGGTGTCAGGAGGAGTACATTGAGGACGATAGATTTTCTGAAGAAGAGTATTTGGAATATAGAGATGATGACAGAATTAGTAGCAGTAGTAGCAGTCACAGCATGAGGAGGAATGAGGATAGAAGGTCACAAAGGTTTGAGGAGCAAATGCCAAGAGAGTCTGTCTTGGATGAAAGAAGACATTTTAGCCCTCCCCTCAGCAGGTATAGTGAGCGACAGGAAGATGAATATGAGGTCTTTGAAGAGGTGGATAGTTACCAAGTTTCCAATGAACACTTTAATGAAGGTCATGGACCATCAATTGAAGATAAACATTACATTGAAGAGGATGAAGGATATGTACATAATGAGAGAGTTAACTATGGGATGTATAATGAGTATAAAGAGGATTTTGATAGAGTCAGGACAAGGAGTGCCCAACAGGACAGCACTTGGCGAGGGGGTGGATTGGACAGAGATAGAAGATACTCAAAACGAAAGTGATAGTTTCAAGGCAACTCAATGACAAGAGATGATTGAAGACAAGGATCCACAGCACATGGCAAAAGTTTCAATACAAATGAATCGTATTGAAAGTGGTATTGAAAGAAAGAGAGGTCAGGAGATTTCAAAACTCACTGAACGTTTCAAAGAAGAAGACTCAATAAAAGGACTTTGTTGATGGTGGTACCACAAAATCTCAAAAGATGCATCGCATCAAGTGGAGAGACAAGGATGACAGCTCCAAGACAAAGGGTCAGAGCTTCAAGAATGAGTAAGTCACCTTAAAGAATAAGGACCAGATCAGCAGAGGTAACGAGAAGGAAAGGTGGCAGTAAGACAAAGGGAAACAAGGGGAAGCAATTTGAACTGGAACATGATGATATCAGTGAGGGTGATCTCAGTGAAGATGGTAGCCTTGGTGAGTTTGGCTTGGATGACTTTGTTGTCATGGATGCAGTGTGAATTGGAAACTTTGTTGATAATCATTATGAAGATACATGCTTTTGAAATGACCAGATGCCATTGCCCATCAGAACAGGTGTTGGAGGTCCTTCGAGGGGCATATTGTAGAAGAATATGTGACGGATAAGGAGAATATTTTGCAGCAGGCAGTACTATACAAGCTGTGGAACCAAGGCCAGAGGCAACAAAGTTCTCTGTACAACAGTCAGACATTCTGCTGTTACTGAAGATGTCTGTACATTTTCTTGGAGATGATGAGGAACTTTTGAGACATTATGATTACAGTGATGACTTGTTGGTGCAGTCCATGTAGAGTTTGTCATGCTGAGAACCAAGAATTCCATCAAATACTCTACCTCTATTACCGTATTCGACGTAATAAGCGCCCACAGCGATATTTGCTAATAGATTGGCTAGTGAACAATTCCAATTAGCACCCCTACCGATTGATCAATGTACACAAGACTTATTTATTCGCGTATAATACGCACTCGTTTGTTATATGCATCCTTAATAATGGGCAATTGAATTCCGAAAAAAGGATCTCTCGTATATAAACATTTCAGGCTGTCAGTATAAACCACGAAATTTATCTTTCGACTCTGTTTTTTTTCTCACCAAAATAATATTCTAATAAGAGCCCCCTATTTCAAATTTTGAGAGCGCCCTGGGCGCTTATTACGTCGATTACGGTACATTGCAGACATAAATTCCCATTTTGGATGTCATCACACTATAAATTCCTTAAGATTTTCAACAGATGTCCTCTTCACAGCCTCTTCTGATTCGTTTTGAGGTAAAGCCTTTGCTCAGGCTTAATGCAACTGTGCTTGCGTGAATCGGGAAAATGTCACTTCTCTCCTGTGTGTGCTGAAGTAAACATCAAGAAGCTATATCTGGTGATTTGACCGTCTCTGTGGTGTATTGGATAGAGCTGCTGCTAACCATACTGACCAAATTGGAAGTGGTAAATACCCCTGTCTTCCACGTGTCTGCAATACACCTAGTCTAGACTACTCTATTCACTTAGCCCTTAAAACCTCATTGCTTTGTGGTTTAGATAGAGCATCTGCTGGAGACAGGAAGGTCGGTGTTTCAATATTCAAAGACAAAGGATGATACTTGTTGTTTTCCTGCCTGGCGCTCAGCATTAAGGGAATAAAAACAGGACTGGTCGGCTCAAGTCTGTATACCGTGTCGGAGTAGGGTTTCCATGTTAAACTGTTGTATGTATCTCGGTGGCCTAGCACTATAAGATGGGCGTTAGTCCAGACTACTACAGGCAGCCACACACACAGACAATTAACAATTCCACATTACAACAATCATCAGTTTCAAAATTGAACTGATACATTTCTTACACTGTCAGTTATTCATATAAATATGTAACAAACTTAAGGGTTTGGGATTTGCTCTATTTGTCTTTGACTAAATGTCTTCTTGATCCAATCTCAGTACTCTTCTCTAATTTCCTGGACTGAATGAGATGAGAATTCTGAGTTTATATCCTGGAGTCAGAAGAATATCAATGATGAAGATGTGTTCAATGTTCTTTTTTTATTTTAACTGATAGATTTTATGTCAGTTCTCTTTCATTTTACTTGATGTAAGAGAAAGACTTATACAACAATGAATAGGTTATTGATCAATATGAGCTATTCTTCTATAATAAAATATATTGAATTTCAGACTGTTATTGAATTTGTTGTCATTTTTATTTACGGCCAAACCAACTTGTCGCAACGTCTTTTTCTGATCCCTTTTGAGTTGATATGAATAGAGATAACAGTTCAGAAGATTTTACCTCAATAGTATACTGTAGGTACTTTAATGCCTTACGTTGTCTTGGCTAATTACGTTATTTTGCACAAAAAGACTGCATATAAAAGTAAAAAACAATTTGTTTTTTATCTTAGTATTATGAAACGTTGGCTTATGATGCTCTGACCAATCACCTGCACTACATGTCTGTGGCCAGCTGAAGTGTAGTAGTGCTTATAGCTGAAGACATCACATAGAATGGGACAGTTTCCTGTTAGCATTATTACAAAATGTAAATTACGTCTTGCGTGGATTTAAACCTATAAAAGGCAACAAGAAATTATATACTAACCCCCAAAGAGAAACTGCACAGCAAACAATGAATACAGTAAATGTACAGCAGATATTTATTCAAAAGCAATGTTATTGCATGAAACATAATGTGAGTCGTCAGTGAACATCACACGTCTGCACCAGTACAGAGGGTGGCTGACATGTCTGGACCATTGTAGATGTCCCCGGCAATGACGTAATGTCATAATAGGACGAATAGCAGGTCGAGCACGTAGGCCGTAACTTCTTAGGCGGTTGATAACGGTTTGTGGATGAATCCGTCTACAGTTAGGAATGCTACGGGCTGTTATTGTTGCTGCTTGACGTGGATTTCGGAGATGAACCAGTCGAAGCTATCGATCTTGAGCAGGTGTGTTAACCCTCGGTCTCCCTCAACGTTGATGGTCTCTGACGTCATTTTGTTGTGCATAACGACGGACTAATGCAGATATGGTGTAACGATGACAATTGAAATGTTGAACAACCTCCTGTTGGGTGGTACCAGACCGTAGCATACCCAGGGCCGTATGACGTTCAGCTCTTGTCATTCTTGGCATGGCGTTGAGGCGGGTTGTGTCGAGATCTTCAGTTGAAAATGAGAACGTTTGGAATGGTTTGAAAAAGGTTGTAAATAGCAGAGTTCCGGAGATTCTTTATGCATTCGGAACACCGTGGGCGAGGAAAATGAAATATCTGATTGTTTTATGTTTTACTATTCAAGGTCAAATTGTGTGCATCTGTTGAAATAGCCAAAGACAATATTGTGAAAACATGTTTAACCAAAAAGGTCTGTTATGTGCTACACAATGCCGACACGTGATCAATAATCAGTCGGATCAACCGTCAAAATGAGAGTATCAGACCAAAACTGAAACGTAAAAAGATCTGAAAAAAACACTTTAATTGTCAAAAAGAAACACTCTAAATAGCGGGTATGTGATGTTCGTGATACGAATACAGCCTGACACCGTGGTATCATGCTTCCTATTGTCTGCATGGTTGCCAAGGGAAGATTGTTCACTTCTTCAGTGACAGCATTGCAAGTTCCTTCAGAGTTGCCAGAAGGACAGGGCGATCTTCATCTCGTTCCACATTTGTTTGATGGGGTTCAGATTGGTGACATAACTGGCTACTTCATGCGGACAATGGTCTACTGCTCTAAGTTGGCACCAACGCCCTGGCACGATGAGGTTATCGTCCATGAGGATGAAAAACGGTCCGATTGCACCAGCATACTGCCTCACGAACACATCCCTAATGTTATCGGTGTTGCGCACACTTGTTCTTCCAGCTCTTCTGATCCCACCCCACATCAGGACATCCAAACACCGATTTCCAAGCACCAATGTAACAAACTAAGGTGGAACTTTTAGAGATTTTCCTGTTATTAATTATTGAATACAAGGAATATACATGTTCAATAGTATTCCTCTTACTGAGGACGCCAGTATATCATATGAGCTATTGGAATGATTGCACATGAGCCATTTGTTGACATTACACAATACAACCTCGGCTCATGTTCACCTCAACCACAGGTCACCTTAGTCTAATAGTCTGAAGTTACGCCCGTAGCTCGATCTTAATTCGGTGTGTGAACTTTAAGGCAAAGGTTGCAACCACAAGGCTGTATGACATCCTGAGATTAAGCCAGACTCGTCCCCCTATCGATGAATGTTATGTGCGAAAATACTACAAACCAATCAGAACGCGCGTATGAAAGGTCAATACATATTTTTTGATTTTACATATGTCTAAGACTTGAAAAATGAAAAATAACATTCAAGAAACACCGCCTGTAATTTCACACGATTACTTTTTGATGAAGGTGAACCGCAGAGCCAATTTCTTTACTGAATACCACACAATACTACTGTCGAAAGGAAAACAATGTGTGGTCCCTGGGTAGGGAAAGGAGATTCGATGAGGATGCGAATACCAGCCAAGAGGTAATAGCACCACGTTTTATTTATTACCTTTTCGTTGAAGGTGAACTACATAACCAATTTACTGAACGTCACCGCCGTCATATAGCTGAAATATTGCTGAGTGCGTCGTTAAACAACAAACAAACAAACTGAATGTCATGGGATGATGCCTTTCAATACCTAGAAATGAGAATATCAGACAAGAAACAAAACGGTAGCATTCCAATTGATCTTCCCCTATGCCCGCGATCCCCAAACATCGCGATCCCAACCGAGAACGACCCGGTTGCCCATGGCGTGACGAACGACCTCCGGCATGGCGGCGACCACGCCACGACTGTTTTCCTAATAAAAGATTTGCATTTGCGTCACAAGAACCTTAGTGCAATAACGAGCTGAACTCATCGGACACCGTAATTTGCAGGAAATAGAACAAGATCCCCTGCCATCAATACATTGGACAAACCCTCTGACCCCCTCAACACCAGACTCAAAGAACATCAGACCTCTGTCAACAAACTAGACCTGAAATCCGCTATTTCAAAACACATTCTCAAGAACCAAGACCATAACATGATGTGGGAAGCCACCAAAGTCCTGTCTACAAACAACAACAACTGGCAACAAAGATAACTAAGATGACTAAGATGACTTCAAGAAGCCATTGACATCAGGAGACACCAGCCAGTCATGGACCGTGACCAAGGGAACCTGTCTGCCCAGTGCTTGGGATTTATTGTTTTGATCTTTGACGGTGCTAACTATCAAGCTGGCTTCCATTTGTCTATTGTCGTTTCATTATATTACTGTTTCAGTGCTAATTACCCCCAGCCTCTCGTTTGCCCATTGTATACTGAGTCAAATTAAAAACTTCACATTTTTAAAAGTAATCCCAATATGATATACAACGGACAAATGTATCAGAGAAGGTAATTTTTAATCATTATTGTCCAAAGAAGGATTTTAATTAACGGTGGTAACCATAATTTGTTCCAAGCACCAACGGTATTCGGTAATAACATCATAAGTCCCAAGCACGAGAATCTGATGGCACACAAGTTCAGTGGCGTGTATGGCCACCATGTGCGTTGACAACTGCCACACAACGCCTCCGCGTCGACCTTGTGATGCTTGTGAACACATGATTGGGAAGACGACGCCATTGTTGCTGCAAAATGGTGCCAAGATCTTGCAAATTCTGTGGTTGGTTCTGGAGAGTGCGCAGACTTCTGCCAAGAGCATACCAGACGTGTTCGATCGAATTGAGGTGTACTTCCTGTACACAGTCCATGACGTTGACTCCCGCATTCTGAAGGAAATTCCTTGTCAAAATTGCTGTGTGGGGTCTGGCATTGTCGTGTTGGAAGATCAAACCGGGCCCAAGTGCTGCCATAAAAGGCAGAAGTTCTGGTGCCAGTACCTGGTCGCGGTAAGCAGCAGCGTTGAGGTAGCCAC